AGCTGCCCAGTCCTTCCTCAGCTGCAGTTCTTCCAGCCCCAACTGCAACTCCTCTTCTGCCAATCAAGGCTGCCCATGCACCAGCCAACACTACCTGAGCACCAGCTACATTCCCAGAGATATGCTATCTGGGGAATACCAAGATAAATAGGACCCTGTCCCTGCACCCAAGATGCTGGTGGCCCGACGGGGAGACACACAAGGAGACCTACAACTATAACTGAGGCAAGAATGCACTAAGAGAGGTCAGTGCAGGATGCCAGGAGACCACTGAGGGGCCACACTCAGCTGGGAAGCCGGGGATGGGGGAGGGCGGGGAGGCTCTGAACATGCTTCCTAGAAGCCTAGGATTGAGAAGAATTAGGTAGAGAGAAATCTTCCCTTCTCAAAGACCCCTCACCAGACCTCTGAGGATCCAGAAACCGATCACTTTAATTAGAACTCCTGGAGAATCCTGAGGAGAACAGAAGGCCACAGAACAGTCCTGGACTCTCCATGTACCAACTGGATAATTGATGCCTCAGGGAAGGACAGTCACTTGGCTTTCCTTCCTCAGTTCATCCCTACCTGGTTTTTCTGGCTCCGAACCATCCTGCTCTTTGCGGTGGGAGGTAACTGACATTTCGTAAGTGCCCACTGCACAGCAGCCCCTGTGAATTACCTGCCTGATCCCACACAACGCTCAAAACATTCTGTGAGGTAGACAGTGTTATCCCTATTACAGATGAGGAAACTGAGGCTCAGCAGTGCAGAAACTGGCCCTGTGGACAGACAGTCATTAAACAGGGCAGCAGGGATTCACACCAGTGACCAGAGTCCTCAGTGCCCATATCTATCTGAAGACACCTTTACCGTCATCAATTCAAAAATGTGTGTTTCACTAAATCTTCACCACCCAGGGCAGCCACGTCCCCGACAGCCAGGCCTCCTGTGCGTCCTCACCTCCTGACCAGGCCTCCCTGGTATTTCTTGCACTGTACTGTGATTATCCACGTGGCTGGGAGTGTCTTGCTTCTGGGATCCAATGTTACTCAGGTCCATGTTCCTAACACTCAGCACAGTGTCCAGTGCACAACAGGCCCAGGAAACAACGAATGAATGCATAAGCAAACCTGGGCTCTCTGGGCCCAAGCACCACAAATCGACCCCAAGCCAGAGCAGCCTGCCCAGGCAGACAGAGGCCTGGGGAGCAAGCCCAACCCTCCTTGGACTTCTGACAGTCAGTTTTCCCTCCAGCACTAGAACAGGTATGATTGGTTCTTTAGTTGAATATCAGATACCAAAACTGGTTTACGTTTGGGGACCATATTACATAACAATTTCTCTTTAAACCTTAGAACCTTAAAAAAAAGAGCATGACTCTTGCTCTGTCCCTTTTTTTTTTTTTTTGAGAGAATTTTTTTTTTAATATTTATTTTTCAGTTTTCGGTGGACACAACATCCTTACTTTATTTTTATTTGTATGTGGTGCTGAGGATCGAACCCAGCGCCCGACGCATGCCAGGCGAGCGCATTACTGCTTGAGCCACATCCCCAGCCCTGCTCTCTCTTTTTGTCAGATGAAGTTCATACATGATGGCAGGAGATGAAGCAGCCAGTTTGGACCATGATATGGATGCCTGGGTTTGAGCAAGGACAGCCACATGATCAAGGGATCCCTGTTTCCAGATGGACCTCACAGAACAGTGAGACAACTACAGCTCTGAACTACAGATTTTCAGACAGTTAAAAGGTGAGGAGTAAATTTCTATTTTGTTTCAGTCTCTGTACTTGGGCTTGCTCTGTTGGAGCAGTTTATTTATTTCTAGTGCTGGGGATTGAACCAGTACTAAATAAATTGCTAGGCAAGTGCTATACCAATGAGCCACACCCCAGTCCTACTGGAGCATTCTAGATAACACCTAATTAAAATAAGAGTGAATATTGTCCACTAATTAATCTACTTTTATTTTTCCTGATTAAAAAAATAGGAATATCGACAATTTCCTGGGGCTGGGGCTCAGCGGTAGAGCACTTGCTTAGCAAATGCAGGGCACTGGGTTCGATCCTCAGCACCGCATAAAAATAAAATAAAGGTATTATGTCCAACTACAACTAAAAAAGAAAATATCTTAAAAAAATAAAATAAAAAACAAGAGCTGGGGTTGTGGCTCAGTGGCAGAGTGCTTGCCTTGCACATGTTAGGTACTAGGCTTGACACTCAGCACCACATAAAAATCAATAAACAAAATAAAGATATTGCATCCATCTAGAAATAAAAAATATTTTAAAAAGATTTCCCAACCAGGGCTGGGGATGTGGCTCAAGCGGTAGCGCGCTCGCCTGGCATGCGTGCGGCCTGGGTTCGATCCTCAAGCACCACATACCAACAAAGATGTTGTGTCCACCGAAAACTAAAATAAATAAATAAATATTAAAATTTAAAAAAAAAAAAAAAAAAGATTTCCCAACCAAACTGTAATAAGGCTTTTGTCATTACTAATTTTAAAGCAAAAGCTTTCTTTTTTTTTTTTTTTTTTTTTTGGTACTAGGGATTGAACCCAGGATGCTTAACCACTAAGATACATCCCCAGCCCTTTTTTATATTTTATTTAAAAGGAGACGGGGTCTCACTGAGTTGCTTAGAGCCTCATTAAGTTGCTGAGGATGGCTTTAAACTTGTCATCCTCCTGCCTCAGCCTCCCCAGTCACTAGGATTACAGGTGTGTACCACCATGCCCAGCGAAAAAGCTGAATGTTGAGCTCAGAGAAGACAAACTCTTTCGAGGTTGGTTTCACCATTGAGGTTTACAGATGTATCGCAGATTTCCAAATAGCCCAGGCTACTCTTTTCTGACAATCTGTCTACATAAACTGCAGCTTGGCTCCCCTCCTCCAGCTCACTATCTGAATCAAAGACACCCAGTGAAAAAATCTGATGAGAAAATGAAGGGTGGCAGCACCTGCTCCCTAAGACTTCCACCCACCCATCAAACAGGCAAGTGCAGAATGCTTGGCATAGAGCAAGTGCTCAATAAATGTTAAACGGGGTTACTGCTGGCCTGCTGCATGCGGGAAAATGTACTGGACACAAAGATGAATAAATGTAGCCTCAGTCCCCACACTCTGGAACTCCTGCTTTATGGAAGACTGAGAGGCAAAAACCCCGAGGCTGCTCCGGGTATTACTCCACTATGGCATTCCACTGCGCTGTCCCGGACACTGTTCTTCTCATTTCCCACCCTCCCCTAGGTGAGCATGTCCCCTCTCCTGGCTCCGGGAGACTTAGGTGGATGACAACCAAAGGGATCACCACCAGAAGGTTTCACTTGAAAGTTTTACAGGCACCTGACTCCAATGTCTTCTCTCCTTGTGCTCTTCCTATAGCATTGAGTGGTATTGGCATCTACCTGTGAAGAACTAGGAGACAATCCTGACCCCTCCCTGCCCCTTACTCTCTCATTGAACTAATCACTGTTTTCCAGTTCTACCTTGGAAACCATCTCTCCCCAACTCTGCCTCTAACCTAACTCAAGTCCACCCCCATTTCTCAACTGGATTAGTCTAGCAGCCTCTTAATGGGCTTCCAGGGCCATTTCCTCTGACACATTCTTCAGCATGGCCAGCGATCTTTCTAATCCACAAACCTGATTATTATTAGGTGGTAGTAGTAGTAGTAGTAGTAGTAGTACCAGCGAGTGAACCCAGGGGTGCTTAGCCACTGAGCCACATCCCCAGGCCCTTTCTATTTTTCAATTTGAGACAGGTTCTAAGTTGTTTAGGGCCTCACTAAGTTGCTGAGGCTGGCTTTGAACTTGGCTGACTCAGTCTCCCAGTGGCTGGGATTATAGATGTGCACTATCCACCCCGGCCACAAGATTGATTCTTAAATGCCTTCTCCTTAACTTAAAATTTATTTATTTAATTATTTTTGGTAGTAGGGATTGAACCCAGGGGCGCTTTACACTGAGCTACCTCTCGAGACCCTACAATTTAAAGTCCTTATCTGGGTTTACAAGGTCCCCTACGGCTGAGACAGAGCCTGATTCCTTTCGCCTTGTCTCCTGTCTTCCACCCAGATCCCTGCCCCCTTCTCCAGCTTTAGGTGTCAGTTTTCTTCGGGGGACAGAAGCCTCCCTGGATTCACCCAGACTACCGGAGCAGCGAAGTGCCTCTACTGCGTCTTCCCTGAGCAAGGGGGGCACTTCTTCCCGCGCAGCAGTATCTCAAGGTCTCCCACCTGAGTCTGAACTCCGGGAAACGATGACACAAATACCAGCAACGCGCACTTGTACGGCATTTACTCGTAACCACAGGTATTTTAAGCACTTTACACCTACTACCTCATTTAACCTTTAGCTCAATCTTGGGCGGTAGATTTTATTATCCTCTCTGCTTCACGGATGAGGAAACCGAGGCAGGGAGCCCAAAGAGCCCAGAGACGCAGCCTGGAGCGGGAACCGGCCTCTCCTGGCCGCGGGCCCCGCGCTGGCGGGCGTCAGGCTGCACCGCGGGCTCGGCCCGGGACCCGAGGGGGCTGAACCGCGTCCGCGGAACGAATGAATGAACGGCGCCTCCTGACACGGCCAGCGGCGGCCGCGGCGGACCTGCGCCCTCCCGCCCCAGCCGGCGACGAGCGCAGCCCAGCACCTCGCCCCCTCGCGGCCGCAGAACGCCCACCCGCCGCGGCGCGCGGGGTCAAGGGGCGGTGACAGCCGGAGGCGGGGGCGGAGATGCTACCAGCTGGGGTGTCACCCGGCCCCGGAGGGCACTCTCGCCGCCTCGCCAGGGCAGCAGGTCCGCCCGCCCACTTCCCGCCCGCTCGCCGGGCGGCGCCCCCTCCCAGCGGCCCCGCACCTGCTGCCCGCGGTGTCCCCTCAGCCCGGTTCCCGTCCCATTCCACTTCCCTTCCCTCCCCTCCCCCACACAACCGTCCATGGCGTCCCGCCGCGCCCCATCCTCCGCCGCCTCCGCCCCGGCTCCGGGAACTCCCCCGGCCCCCGGCGCTTGATGACCCTCACCTGCCATGTCCCGGACCCCACCGCAGGAGGAGGTGCATCACGGCCGCGAGAAGGCCAGGGACGGCACTTCAGAGCAGACAAAGGGCGCCGCCATGTTAGAGTCGGGCGGAACCGACCTCGCTGGCTTCCCGGCTGCAACTTCCGGCGCATGCGCAACGCTCGCGCTGGATGCGCGACCGCGGACCGACGCATGCGCCTAGCTATCCAAAAGTTCTACGTTACTTCTGCGCTTAGAATTGTCCTCATTATAACCCTGCCTTACCACGATGACAGTACCGGCTTCCATGTGTTCAGCGCCTGTAGAGCGCCAGACGCTGCGTTGAGCTCTTTATGTGCATTCTCATTAAATTCTTATAACAACTTTCAAATAGTTTTATTTTCCCCCCTTTTGAAGAAGGGAAAAGGGAGGCTCACAAAGGGTAAATAAATTGTCCATAGTCACACATCTTCTAAGTGATGGAGCAGAGATATGAACCTAGTTGTGACTCCAAAGCTGCAAATCCCATTATATTTTTCTACTTTTTAAACCACCATCACCCGCCCCATGTTTACTCCAGGATTAGCCTGAGTCCACGTGAGGCTGCCCTACAACTGGTGTGTACAGGCCCCGCCCGGCACCTCATTCTATCTCTTTGGTTTCTCAAAGTCATTGACTTCCTCCTTAGTTTGTGGGCTTTCTCCTTTTAATCTTCTGGCCCTGTTTATTTTCCATGATCCGTAATTTTATTTGTTTATTTATTTATTTATTTATTTATCTATTTGTGGTGCTGGGATGGAACCCCGGACTTTGCACGTTAAGCAAGTGCATTCCCACTGAGCTACACCCCCGCCCCGTGATCCACAATTTTAACTACAGTCTCACCACCATCGCCACCACCCTACTCTTCTATTCCTTATTTTTTTGTCACATGGATTGGTAAGAATTCCAACGATGGTGAATCAAGCTGCACCTTTTCTCTTTGCCTGCACCCAAACAGCCAATCACAGCTGAAGAAAGTACTCAACAGGACAGGCTATTCCTACATTTTCAGTCTCTGGCCCTTAAGTAGAACGATAGCAAATGTCACTTTGGCCAACTCACTATTGTCTTCACAATGACTATGGAAACTAAAAAGTTCAGCAGTTAACATCATGGATTTTTAAGTTTGTTTTTTAACCTGTGGTAAGAATATTTAACATGAGCTCTGTCTTTTTAACAAATGTTTAAGTGTGCAATACAGCACAGGCACAGTGTTGTACAACAGCTCTTTAGGGTTACATTTCTCTTGAAAATGAGCCTTTATGACCATTGGTTAGCAATTCCTTATTTCCCCTTTTCTCCAACCTCTGGCAACCACAATTCTACCCTCTGATTTTATTAATTTGACCATTTTTAGATACTTCATAGAAGTGGAATCATATAGTATTTGTCTTCAATGACTGTTTTCTTTCATTTAGTATAATGCCCTCAAGTTTTATCATTGTTGTTGAACATTGCAGGGTTCCTTTTTTAAGGCCAAATAATATTTCATAGTATGTACGTACCACATTTTCTTCATCTACTAATCTACTGATGGACATTTAGGTTATTTCCACATCCTGGCCATTTCAAATAGTGCTGCAATGAACATTGGCATGCTACTATTTCTTTAAGATCCTGATTTCAGTTCTGTAGGATAAATACTTAGAAGTAAGATTGCTGAATCTAATTTTATTTATTTATTATTGATACCAGGGACTGAATCCAGGGATGCTTAACCACTGAATCACATCCCTCAGCCCTTTTTATTTAGGGACAGGGTCTTGCTAAGCCTCCCTAAGTTGCTGAGGCTGGCTTTGAACTTGTCATCCTCCTGCCTCAGCCTCTTAGCCGCTGGGATTACAGGTGTGCACTACCGTGCCCTTCCTTATCTATTTATTTTTCCAGTGCTGGAATCAAGCCCAGAATCTTGTACCTGCTAAGCAAGTACTCTACCCGGAGCTACTTTCTCACCCTATTTTTTAATTTATGAGGAATTTCCATGTTGGCCACACCATTTTGCATTCCCAGTAGCTGTGCACAGGGGTTCTGGTTTCTTTGCATCCTCCTCCACCCTGGACTTTCACATCTTTTTTAGGGGGAAATAATAGATTTGGTAAGAATCCTCTTATCTTCCCAATACTGAGTGTACAAATGTGTGTCTATCTGCAATAGATGGGGTTTATCAAGACCCAGCATCCATTCTCTCCAGAATGTAAGAGGTTAAATTTTTACTTCTCAGACTTAATTGGCGTTAGAATCTCACCTATGGATGGATTCTTCCGGTAAGTGAGAACTGGAAGGTGAATGTCATCACAGTCCTGCATATGAGAAAGATCCCCTCTCGTGACCCCCTAGCATGTTTTTGGGGTGCTGGGGATTGAATCCAGGGGTGCTCCACCACTGAGCCCTGATCCTTTTTATTTGTTTATTTTTAATTTTGAGACAAGGTTTTGCTAAATTGCCCAGGCCAGCCTTGAACATGCAGTCCTTCTGCCTCAGTTTCCTGAGTCACTGGCATTACTGGCGCATACCACCTAACTCAGGCCATAATGTGTGTTTTGGTTTTGTTTTTTGGTACTGGGGATTGAGCTTAGGGGCACTCAACCACCGAGCCACATCCCCAGCCCTATTTTGTATTTTATTTAGAGACAGGGTCTCACTGAGTTGCTTAGTGCTTCACTTTTGCTGAGGCTGGCTTTGAACTTGCAATCCTCCTGCCTCAGCCTCCTGAGTGGCTGGGATTACAGGCATGTGCCACCTCACCTGTCCATGATGTGTTCTTAAATGCAATAATTCCAGGAGTGGTCTCTGATTTCCCGTTTTCTTGATTGTAGCAGAAGTAACAGTTCTTGATTGGTGAGTTCTAAAGTGTTCTGGGAATCACTATTGAAGGTCCACTACAGTGACCACTCTTTCAGCCCTTCAGATGATTTTATAAATACCTAATTTTCTGTATTAAATCCCTCTGTGCTTAAAAGAAGCCTATAAACAACATGGGAATGTTCTGCACCTTGCCTATATCACCACCAGTATCCTGGTTGTAATAGTTTCACAAGTTATTAGAATCAGTGGAGATTGGGTAAAGGATGCAGGGTGGTCTCTCTGTATTATTTCTTACAATTGTATGTAAACCTACAATTATTTCAAAATTAAAATTTTTTAATTAAAAAGAAAATCTGGGGACTAGGGGTGTAGCTCAGTGGTACGGTGCTGGCCTAGCATGCCTGAGGCCCTTGCTTCAGTCCCAAGTGCTGAAGAAAAAAGAGGGAGAGAAAGAGAGAAAGGACATGATCAGGAAGGAGAAAGAGTCCAGTGAGCTTTCTGTCTCGGCAGGTGGTGGGTCCTCAAGGCTGAAAATCAGGGGACTGGATTGGGAAGTGATCCCCATGTAATCAATTTCAGGCAGGAAAAAAATCATTACATAAGTTATCACTTATGATGAGAAATATTGTTGCTGGGGGGAGATTGTCTAATGAAGACAAGAGTGCAGTTGACCATTCTGGTGGGAATAAAGACGGGAAGAGCTGCTTACAACTGCACTGCAATCTCCAGAAATGAAAGTCTGAGGGTTTACGTTCTCAGCATAACACAGGGTCAGAGACCAGGGCCGCTCTTGACCACTGCGGGGGGAAAAATACACACACACACACACACACACACACACACTTTACATATATATGTAAAGTGTTCCTGGGTTCAATCTCAAGTACCAATGAGAGAGAGAGAGAGAGAGAGAATTAGAAAGGGGATATTTGGGTGGACAGCAGTTTCCCAACTCCCCAAATCCAAAATCCAATGAGAACTCCTTGCCGGTGGAAGCAGCCCCTCTTCCCATCTGCTGATCCTCATTTCCATGGGAGCATAGTGGTCTCACCTGAGGATGTTATTGCTCAAGGGCAGGCTGATTGCTTGAGAAGGCTCCACCCACCTCTGTGGCTTCCAGATCTGTAAGAATAGCTTCCAAGAAACCTCAAGGACCAGCCTGAGTCTGACGTAGTTTACAAAACAAGCCTTGGGCAATTAAGTGAACAGAAACCTAGGGAACAGGGGCATGACTGGATTCTAGAGGAGCTGTGTCAGGGAGGAAAGAACACAACAACATTCAACTTCGCTGAATTTGTAACAGGGGTTCACTTGATGCTTTGACTATATTCCTTCTGGCTTTGAAAATTACATGCCCCCCCCAGCCCCAAATCTTCTTTTCCCTAAACTTCTCCCTGATCTTCTTTTTCCTAATCTTCTCCCCCATCTTCTTTTCCCTGATCTCCTTCCTGATGTCTCCTCCCTAATCTCATTTTCTCTGAATCACCTCTGTAAAAGTCCCCTGTTCCTGAAGATAGGCAGAATCACAGCCTTTGGGACAGGAGTCTCCTGTGTCTCCCCTTTGCTAGCAAAGCAATAAACCTTCTTTTTCCTTTTTTCTCAAAACCATGTCCTCATTATTGGATGGGCATCAGAGACAAGGATTGAGATTTCGGCAACAAATTTATGAATATGACATAAGGGCACATGGCAGAGATTTGGGATTTTGTTCTTCAAGTGGAAATAGTTTTTCTGTTGTTGTTTTGTACTAGGGATTAAACCCAGGGGGTGCTTTACCACTGAGCCACATCCCCAGCCCTTTTTATTTTTTATTTTGAGACAGGGTCTCACTAAGTTGCTTAGAGCTTTGCTAAGTTGCTGAGGCTGGCCTTGAACTTGTGATCTTCCTGCCCCAGCCTCCCAAGTTGCTGGGATTACAGGCATGTGCCACCATACCTGGTTCAAATTGAAATAGTTATAAGAGCTCAACTGAGTGATTGAAATCTGGACTCTCCATTGGCCTTTATCAAATGAAGCTGGATGCCAGAAACTCCTTAGGACTGTGTGGAAGACAGAAGCCCAACCCTGGGCTCCATGGCTGGATGGGGCAGGCACCAAGTCCTCTGTCCAACCCGAGAGGGGATGATTCCCAGTTGTCTGGTTTCTCGCCAGAGATCATTGCTTCAGTATGTTACCAGCCGGTGCCCCAAGTCCCACCCAATATCCTCTCCACTCAACCACCAGAGTGACATGAGTGACATGCGGAGTCTCCAGCCTACCCCTCACCCACCTGCCACCTGAAGGTTTCTGTCCACATGGGAACAAGCCTGTTTTCCCAGCAACTGGAATTTTTCAGGTGATTAGCCACCTCATAGACATAAACTTGAAAAGCTGTAGATGAACCAACATACATCTGTTTATACAATTTAGATTATTGATTTGATGACACAAATATTGAAAATCTGAGTTATATAACTCATAACTTCTAAGTGAGCTACTCATAACTTTTTTTTTTTTTTTGGTACTGGGGATTGAACTCAGGGGGTACTCGACCCCTGAGCCACATCCCCAGCCCTATTTTGTATTTCATTTACAGACAGGGTCTCACTAAGTTGCTTAGTGCCTCGCTTTTGCTGAGGCTGGCTTTGAACTCATGATTCTCCTGTCTTAGCCTCCCGAGCCCATGGGATTACAGGCATGTGCCACCGCACCCAGCTACACATAATTTATCAAGTATACTTTTTGCCCTCTGCCCACTCATCATGAAATGGTTTCTGTTTCCTTTTTGCAGAGCTGGGGACTGAGTTGTACCCCCAGTACCTTTTTTCCTATTTATTTATTTAGATGGACACAACACAATTTTTGTGTGGTGCTGAGGATTGAACCCGGGTCCCGCCCGTGCTAGGTGAGCACTCTACCTCTGAGCCACAATCCCAGCCCCCCTTTTTTTCCTATTGTTTTGGTTTTTGGACACAGGATCTCGCTATGTTATCCAGGCTGGACCCAAACTCATACCTCAGCCTCCTGAGTAGCTTTCCGTTTTGAAATATGTGTTAGATACTCAAAATTAGAAAAAATAAAACGTTTTCTATATGGCCATCATATGGACTCAGGAATTTTATTTATTCTTTGTTTCTTTTAGTGCAGAAGTGTTAAAGCAAATTCCAGGCATCATGACACTCTACTCTGATATATTTCAGTGTGCAACCATTAAAAAATAATCCTGGGGCTGGGGTTGTGGCTAAAAAAATATGAACTCAAGGAAAAAAATACTTTTATGTAGATTCTAAAAAATGTAACCTCTGAGGCCCCCACCTCCCCCGACCTTGGGTATAAAGTTCCAAACATTTCCAGACTCAAGGTCCAGAGAATTTTAAGTGATAGCCTCTCTGGACCCTGCAGTCAATAAACCTGCTTCTTGATTCCTTGGTGTTTGGCCTCTTCTGCCCTACATCACAACCACAAGAGTGGGATCCCAGATAGAATAAATTAGACTCCTATGTATGTATAATCTGCCAAAATTCATTCTACTATCATGTATAACTAAAAAGAGCAAATAAAATAATGATAATGATGATGATGATGTTCATCATCATCATCATCATCATCATCCTGCCGAGTGCTCTGGTGCATGCCTATAATCCCAGCAGCTGGGGAGACTGAGGCAGGAGGATTGTGAGTTCAAAGTCAGCCTCGGAAACTTGGGGAGGCCCTAAACAACTCAGTGAGACCCTGTCTCAAAATAAAATACAAAAAAGGGCTGGAGATGTGGCTCAGTGGTTAAGCACCCCTGGGTTCAGTTCACAGTATCAATCAATCAATGATGCCATGGCTCATGTCTTTTTTTTTTTTTTTTAAGAGAGAGAGAGAATTTTTTAATATTTATTTATTTATTTATTTTTTAGTTTTTGGCAGACACAACATCTTTGTTTGTACGTGATGCTGAGGATCGAACCCGGGCCGCACTCATGCCAGGCGAGCGCGCTACTGCTTGAGCCACATCCCCAGCCCCCATGGCTCATGTCTTAATCCCAGCAAGTCAGAATCTAAGGCAGGAGGATTGCAGGTTTGAGGCTCAGCCTGGACAATTTAGCAAAACCTTGCCTTGAAATTTAAAAATACAAATGATAAAAGGGGCTGGGTGTAAATTTCTACAGTAGAGTGCCCCACACTACAAAGGGAAAAAAAAAAAAGAACATATTGTTTTGGAATCATCGGCTATCCAACCATAATCAAAAATTTCTAGTTTTCTCCAACTGTCTTTTCGTGATTGCTTTGTTCAAGTCAGGATTCACAGAGGGCCTCCCGTCACGGCCACACTGGGTGGTGGTGGTGTTGTTCCAAACAGTCTTTTTGAGTCACTTTTGTTCTGATGTTTTCCGTTCATTCCATTCCGTTGCCTCGTGGCAGAAATGGGTCACCCGTCTCTCAGAACTTCCTACACTCTGGACTTCCCTGCTTCTCATTCTGTCCCATAAGCTGTACTTTGTCCCCCTGTTCCCCATTACTTAACCCCAGGCCTGAGTAGACTCAAACCGGCCTGTGGGTGAGAGCACACAGCTGAGACCTTCGGAAAGCATCCCCTGGGGCCTCTGGGTGGGGGAGCTGGACAGCCAGCCTTCTCCTCCGGAAAATTCCCATCAACTTTCCACTTGTAGTGGAATCTTCCTTCCTTATCTGAGGCAATGATTTCATTAGTGATTGGAAAAATCATGCCTTGGCCTGAATCAGCTGGAATTTTTCTGTAAACAACAATTCCTCCCAACAACCAGGTCTGTATGGTTACCCAGAAATGTAGTTCATTGAGGAGAAGGAAGACAGAAGTTTTTTTTTCTTTCTAAAAAGTAACGTTAGCCGGACACGGTGGTACATGCTGGCGCATGCCTGTCATTCCAGCACTTCGGGAGGCTGAGGCAGGAGGATCACAAGTTCAAAGCCAGCCTCAGCAAAAACAAGGTGCTAAGGGACTCAGCGAGATCCTGTCTCTAAATAAAATACAAAATAGGGCTGGGGATGTGGCTCAGTGATTGAGTGCCCCTGAGTTCAATCCCCAGTTTCCCTGGATTAGTCCCAATTAGTCTCATGTCTAAGCCAAGGTCACAGGTTTGGGAGAAGGACCTAGCAGAGGTGAACACCCTTCTCATCACATGGTATCAGAGCTGCCTACTATCACATGGGCACGGCTGTTAAGAATTTTTTTTTGTGTGTGGTAAAATATATATTGCTAAAATGACATTTTAAGTCATTTAATGCAGGCAAAAATATTTGGCGAGGATTTCATTTTGTTTTAGTTTCTTTGTTATTTGCCTAGCATGTTCGTTTTCTATTGATGCTGTACCAAGTCACCACAATACAGTCACTAAAGGTAACACAAATTTATTCTCTACGGATCATCAACACCCACCAAATCAAGGAGCACAGGAAGGCTCCTCCCTGGAGTTGCTAGGGAAGAATCCTTTTCCTGCCTTTTCCCAGCCTCCAGAGGCACCTGGGTTTTTTGGCTCAGCGTCTCTTCCTCTGTTGCTGTGATACTATGATATTTATTTTTTTGTCCATGGTCCCTAGCTCCAGGGATTAGAACAATAAGGGTGTCTTTGGTTCCCAAAGAGGCTTCAAGGCCATAAAGGTGAGGAGCCCTTATTAGGAAGGTGGGGCACTTTCAGCCTCAGGAAGCAAGGTCTCTCTCCTACCCAACCCCCCACCCTTCACCTGCTCCCTTTTCTCCCCAAGGTAGGTCTTAGAAATTAGAGCTTCCTGAGATGGGCCACAGAGAGGAAAAACCTACCCTAACCTTCCCCCCACCCTTTCTACCTCAGAGATGGCCATAGAAAACATTGCCTGAGAGTAGATCTTTTTTCTTTCTTTCTTTTAAAAAAAAAAATCTGTATTGCTGAGGATTGACCCCAGGGCCTTGGGCATGCTAGACAAGCGCTCACCCCTGAGCTGCCGCCAGCCCATGAAGCTCTCAAACCTCTCCTGGCAGGAGCAGTCCTGCCCGTGCCCCAGAGGGAGGGGTGCAGGCACACAGTGCCACTGGGCTCTGCCCTCAGTCCAGCAGATCTAGATGAGACCACCTCTACCCAGTCACCCACGCTTTAGTCACGCTCATGCCTTGAAGTCTCCATAAAAGCCCAAAATGACAGAGAGCTTTCCGGGAGCTGAACACCTAGAGGTTCCTGGAGGGTGGCACACCAGGAGGGCATGGAAGCTCTTCCCCACTTTGCGTGTGCCTGGCCCCGTTCACCTCTTCTCCTGTCTGTTTTGTAACATCCCCTGCAATAAACCGACTAAAGAGGGTGTTTCCTGGAGTCCCGGGAGCTGCTCTTGCAAATCAATCGAACCCCAATTTCGGTGGGTCCGAAGCCCAAGTAAAGCGTATGAATGGGGCTCTCCAAGTGTCTGAACTGAGCAGTCCTGGGGACCCAGCCCTCAGCCTCTGGGATCTGATGTCGTCCCCAGGTAGACATTGTCAGAGTTGAAATAGAGGACACCCCGCTGGCACCCGGCCACCTGCGACAGTGTAGTCTGAGAAACTGAATTGAGCTGGTTCCTTCCGCTGTGACAGAATCTCCAAAGCCAGCCATGGTGCATCGAGGCCTCACGTGCTCCTGGCCTTCCTCCTCCTCCATGCGTCTTTCTACTCCGGCCAGGAAAGGTTCGATTCCCAGGACTCCTGTGATTAGACTGGGCTCAGCCTCGGAATCCAGGATCATCTCCTCAAATCAAAGTCCACAGCCTTAATCACATCTGCAGAGTCCCTTCTGCCTTGGAAGGTAACCCATCCCGGGGCGGGGACACCTCCAGTGGACCATGATCCTGCTGGCCAGGCCGGGTTACCTCTTTTTTTATGGAAACGATGCCGTTCCCATTTAATGCAGCTCAGTCGACTTTCCTTCTAAAGTCCATCTCTTTTTCGGTGAACTCAGTGGTTGGCCTGAGTATCTGCAGCACCCGTTTTAGATGGGAAACAAACCAACAAAGTGAGGTGGTGAAACGGGCAGATAATGGCAGATCTGGGAAACTGAGGCCTGCTGAGAAGGTTCCAGAGACCCAGCCCAAGTCAGGAAGCAGCTAGAGTTGGGAAAACATAGTGTCCCTTTTATAGGAAGCCTGTCCCCTGGACCTAACAACAATCGTGTTGACATAGCCCTGCTGATCAAAGCAAGCCCCTAACTGCCCTGGGCCAGTTCCTGTGGCTCACTCAGCGGATCCGGTCCGGATCTGGTGAATATAAAAGATCTGGTCCCCGGAGTGGGGTGGCTACATCCTGCAAGAGGTAGCAAGGACTTCTCCCAGTCCCAGGCAGGCACTGTGAGTGGCATGGCTCCCTCAGAGGACTCCAGGGACTGCAGAACCAGCCTCAAAGACACCGGCCTAGAGACCAGCTCTGGTAAGAGGTGGCACAGGGCACCTCAGCCCTGGAGAAAGATCAGCTTCGGTAAAGGGGAGGTGGGCAGGCCAGGTGGGGTCTGACGACAGACACCCCACAGTGGAGTGGGGGACTTCACGTATTGCCTGAATTGACCAGCTGACCAGAACATAAGCTTTCTTCTGAGTCCATGGCGTGGTGAAGAGTGCAGAATTAAGAGAACGGGCATGTTGTTTGGTTCACCTGAAAAGTTAGTTTTTTAAGAGAACAGACTGTGGTTTTAGATAGACCAGCTCTGACTCTTGCTTTATCGATAATTGATTTTTTTGTTCACTCTTCTACCACCTAATAGGCTCTGAGCTAGGGAGAAGGTGGGGTACAACAGTTAGAGTAGGGATCCCCAAGTAGATGACACCAGGTGTGGATAGGACTCTCTGAGGCCATGGACAAAAGTATGTGTGGGGAGAAGCCAGGTGTGAGGGTGCATACCTATAATCCCAGGGATTTGGGAGGCTGAGGCAAGAGGATCCCAAGTTAAAAGCCTGTCTCAGAAACTTAGCAAAACCCTGTCTCAAAATAAAAAGGGCTATAGCTCATTGGTAGTGCACCCTCTGGATTCAATCCCCAATTCCACAAATAAAATTAAATTTAAAGGGCTGGGGAGCCGGGCACAGTGGCGAATGCCTGTAATCCCAGCATCTAGGGAGGCTGATTCAGGAGAGAGTTCAAAGCCAGCCTCAGCAAAAGTGAGGCACTAAGCAACTCAGTGGGACCCTGTCTCTAAATAAAATACTTTAAAATAGGGCTGGGGATGTGGCTCAGTGGTCGAGTGTCCCTGAGTTCAATCCTTGGTACCACAAAGAACATAACATTTAAAGGCCTGGGGTATAACAGCTCAGTGGTAGACTGTTTGCCTAGCATGCATGAACCCCTGGATTTAATCCCCAATACTGCAAAAAATGTTTGAAATATGAAAAGATTGTGTGGGGGTGGGGGGCAGTACGTGGAGCAGCACAGTGTGCCCCAAGAACCACCAACACCCACATGAATTAAGCTCCAGTTTCCTCACCTCTAGGAGGTGGCCCTGGCCTTCCTCTTGATTGAGGACCCTGCTATTCTCAGTGTGCTCCATGGACCAACAGACGCAGCCTCTCTTGGGAGTCTGTTAGAAGGGCAGAATCTCAGCCCCCACCCCCACGAGCTGCACTCTAACAAGGTCCCTGGGCAGTTCACGTGCACAGTAAAGTGGAGGAGCCCCCATGTGCTCAACTTGGGGCTCCAAGGTGGTGATGAAGACAGGGTTTGGGCTGGGGGTGTAACAGAGCCGTAGATTGCTTTCCCAGTGTGTGCAAGGCCCCGGGTTCCACCCCAAGCACCACCAAAAACACATAGAGTAAAAATAAATCCATGACCCCATATTCTGAACCCCCAGCTGTCCTGTCACGTGGGTCACTTAAGTCCTACAGAACAGATGAAAGAATGCATTGGGAGACCTCGTCCCTGGCTGTGCCAACACCAACCTTGGTCTTTTCCTTCCTTCTAGGTGGGAAGCGGGCCCGCTGTCACAAGGCCATCCCTACGGCTCACATGACTTTCGTTATTGACTGTGTCCGTGGGAAACAGCTCTCCCTAGCAGCTCCCCCAGTGCTGCCCCAAGTCCCCAGCCCCAGCCAGGGACCTGTCACTCTGCCAATGAAGACCTATATTGTGTTCTGTGGGGAAAACCAGCCCCAATCAGCTTTGGACATCCCCTTGGGTGGGGGGTGCCTTGCCCAGGCCAAGGATGCCCTGCCACCCCGCCCACCCCGCAGAGGGGCTGTGGACCCCTCTTCCCCCCCAGATAGCCCACCCTGCCCCCAGGGGACTCCTAAAGCCAAGGGGAGGCCCCTGAAGATTGGGCCTGCGAGGTCTTCAACCTGGGGGACAGTCAAGGGCTCCCTCAAAGCCCTCTCTTCCTGTGTCTGTGGGCAGACGGATTAACGGGAAGGGCCGGGCTGTGGGAGGAGGGGTTGGCATGCCAGGTTCCAGTGCTCAAGGGCTGTGACTCCCAGGCCAGCCTCCCGTCCCCTGGGCCCACTAAAGGACAAAAGAATCAGCCAACCGGTGCACATCTGCCTCCTCCATCCTTCCCATCCCTGCCAGCCTTTCAACAGAGGCCGACCAGGACCCCCCTGCAGGGAAAGAGATTCATCGTTCACCCAGCAGATACTAAAGGAGCATCTTCTATGTGCTGGCCCTGGGGCAAGGCCCGGGACATCGTCTGGTTTTCACAAAGCTTCTATTCTTGGGGCAGGAGGTGGGAAGAAGGGTTAAACAAGCAAGCCAATAAATAAAAAGACGATTTTGAACCGTGATGAGTGCTAGGCAGGAACTGGAGCGAGCCACTGGGCCCGGCATGGCTGGGGGACAGCTTTCCTCATATGGTGCTTGGGAGAGGCCTTGTTAAGCAGGTGACACTTAAAGGACCATTGGAAAAATGGGAAGGAGCCAGCTTGTGGGAATCTACCCTCTCCAGGGCACCTGCTGCATCTAGACATTGCAGAGGCCGGTGCCCCTGCGTGACAGGCAGGGTCGGCATGTGGCCGCGGCCATCTTGGCTCAGAGGCAGGCCTGGAGGTGGCTGGGATGGGCCATTGGAGGGTGGGGCAGGGGATTGGGAGGCTCAGGGAAGTGGCCACAGGAAACTAACCCAGAAGGCAGCCTGGGTGGGGGGGATGTGACCATGGAAAATAGGGGGACCTGGCTTCCCAGAAGGGGTGGAGGTGCTCAGAAATGAAATGGGCAGCACATTTGAACAAATGGAGAGATGACTTATTGAGCATCACCCACCCCAGGCTCATACTGCCCTCTAGGGACACAGGAAACGAGGGAGCCAGGGAGCCTGGTCCTCACAGGCCAGTCAGGTTCCAGAGCAAGGCGGGGTCACTGATGGCTTAAGTACCTGGATAAAAACTGCTGAATGTTCATTTATTTATTCAGTGACAATTTAACTAGGGCTTTACAAACTCTGACAATTAACACATATTGACTGGGAAATGCAGGTCCAAGGGAGCACTATTTTGTGCCCATTTCACTGGTTAGGAACCGAGGCCCAGAGAGGTTGAGGACTGCATTCAAGCTCCCACAGGCTGGTACAGTTGAGTTTAATCTGGTGCCCAAGTTCTCATTCCTAACAGTGGGCCTCCTTTGGGAAGGACCTGTCCTCTAGGCTGAGGGACCCTGAGAGGCTACACGTAACTCTACTCTAGCAGCCTACAGCTTAGTGGGCAAGAAAAGAAGGGATGCAGTTACCAGTTCCCAATAGCTATGACAGCACGTGCGGGACACCACGGCACATGCCTGTAATCCCAGTCACTTGGGAGGCTGAGGCAGGAGGATTGCAAGTTCAGGACCAGCCTCGGAAACTTAGTAGAACCCTGCCCCAAAGTAAGAGTATGAAGCTCTGTGGTAAAGCTCCCTTCTTTCAATCCCCAGTAACATAGTAATAACAATAACAACTATTATGGTTTAGATATGAGGTGTCCCCCAAAAGCTCATGGGTGAGACAATGCAAGAAAGCTTAGAGGTGAAACAATCCGGTTATGAGAGCTTTAACCTAATCAGTGTATTAATCCCCTGATGGGGTTAACTGGGTGGTGGCTGTAGGCAGGTAGGTGTGGCTGCAGGAGGTGGGACCCTGGGGGCACGCCTTTGGGGTATATATTTTGTCCTTGTTGAGTAGAGCTCAACAAGGTGCCACGTCCTGGTGCCACGTCCACCACACCCTTCTGCCAAGTTCTTCCTCACCTTGGGCCCAGAGCAATGGAACTGGCTGTCTACAGTCAGAGACCTCTGAGACCGTGAGCCCGGAATAAACTTTTCCTCCTCTAAAATTATTCTTTTTAGGTCTTTTGGTCACAGCAGTGAAAAAGCTGACTCAAACAATAAAAATGAATAAAATAAAATTTTGAAACATAAGTGTGACAGCAAGGACACAGAGGAAGGTGACCAGTTCACTCTGGGGACAGGGGGTCAGGGAGGGCATCCTGCAGGAAGTGACAGCTAAACAGATCTGACTAGAGATTGAGTACACAATGGGAGGGGACCCACGGGGCTTTAGGCAGGAGGATCAGGGCCACTCAGTCTGACCATTCATTGATTCATTCACCAAGTATTTATTAGTCACCACTGTACGCCAGGATCTGGGCTAGACCCTGGAATGGATCAATGAAGAAGACAGACAAAGCCCAGCGTGAAGGAGCTTGCCTTCTGGTTGGGGACATAAGCAATGCACATCTAGAGAGCAGAGATCAAATCAGAGATCAAAGAGAGTAGAAGCCTTCAGATCTTATTCTGGAATGGGACACAGGAAATTGGGAGCAGACAGTCCCGGGCCCAGCCTCACCTTTGAAAAGAATGTGGACAGAATGTCGGAAACCCTGGAGGCTGAGCCAAGGGGAGCCAAGGGGAGCCACTAGCGGGAAGGTGACAGTTATAATCTGGATGACGGGCTGGCAATGGAACTCAGTGGAAGAGCACTTACTTAGCATGCATGGGGCCTTGGGTTCGATCCCAGCAGGGTAAAAATACTAAGAGTAACCTGGGTGACATATGTCCATTAGGAAAGCTGATAAAGCTCCCTGCCTCCTTCTATCTTGAGGTCAGCCAAAGTCAAGGCATTGGAAGAAAGGGTGGTCTGTGGCTGCACATCTACAACCCACCAGCAGGTGTCGCTCTATCCTCAGATAGGAGGGCACTGAGCTTCTGGAAGCACCTGCCAGGCACAGGTGGGTCTGTTTTCAGAAGCCAATGCCCCTTTCATCCTGAATAATAAGTGTTCATTCTGTGCGGGGCATAGTGACATTTCAGAATTTAGTAGTGGGGGTCTGGTGAAGATTCAGAGGGACCATTCATTTATCACTTGCTCAGTAAAGGTGGCTGTCATTGTTCCTATTGTCCAGATATTTTTATTCTATTATTTACTTATTTTGGTACCAGGGATTAATCCCAGGGGCTTTTAACCACTGAGCCACATCCCCAGCCCTTTCCTTTACTTTTATTTTGAGGGTCTTTCTAAGTTGCTTAGGGCCTCACTCAGTTGCTGAAGCTGACTTTGAATTTGTGATCCTCCTGCCTCGGCCTCCGAGCTGCTGAGATGACAGGTGTGTGCCACCACACCCGGCTTAATTCATTTTTTTTCCCCTTATAGTACTGAGGATTGAACTCAGTAGTGCCAACCTCTGGGCTACTTCCCAGCCTCTATTATTTCTTTTTTTATTTTGAGACAAGGCCTCCCTGCGCTGCCCAGGCTGACCTTGAACTTGCCATGCTCCTGCCTCAGCCTTCCGAGTCTCTCTGATTACAGGCGTGCCTATGGGCCAGACGGTTCTTAGGTACCACATGCAACACCAGTTGACTTCACCAGCTCCAGTCTCGGGAGTGGGTATGATTTTCATTGCCATTTACAGATGAGGAAATGGAGGCACAGAGAAGTTCAACACTCTGCTCATGGTTACAAATCAGAAAGATTCCAAGCCTGGCGTGGAAGCAGAGGGTGCTTTAGCGCTCAGTGCACCTTGATGAATGTGTAAGTGAGGAGGAGTGAACACTTCCCACGGACCCAGGGCAGGGCCTGGTGTGCACAGGAGCGTTTGGTGACTGAGTGGGTGACTGGCCCTCCACATGGTGGAGGAGCGAGCAGGAACATGGGAAAACATGGGAAGACGATGGCTTCAGGAGGGTACCCGCATGTAGGAGACCCTGAGACATGTGGGGAGGTGGAGCATGTCCCGCTCCCTCCCCCACTGCAGCTCTGGTCAGGGGCCAAGGCTGGTGACAGGAGAGCCATCGGCATGGAGGTGGGTGACTACAGCCACTCAGAGAAGGCTTGGAGGAGGCCGCCAACAGGCCCAAGGTTAAGGGCTCCTAAGATGGTTCCGGCTGGGCTAGGGGCGTGTACGGCTCCGTGGCAAAGTGCTTGCCTAGCATACAGAGGCCCTGGGATCCACCCCAAGCACTGCCTAAATAAACGAATAAATATTTTTATTTTTGGAATAAGCAAAAAAAAAAAAAAAAAAAATCCCCCGGGGTCTCCACTACGGTGTAATACTCTGGGGGCCGAGCTGCTTTACTTGCCTTTGAGCCATTTCACAACTCCGTGTATTGTATAACACACAGGCATGCCGCACAGGTGTGTCTACAGTAAACAGGTTCCGTCCTGCCCTGTGGATGGGGCCTGGGATCCACACCCCCCACCACGGAAGAAGCTCATTCACTCCAGTATTCCCCGATCTACAGCTCTGCTGTCCTCGGATTCTCCCCTGAACTGGTCACTACATCTTACTGGTTCCCTCCTTAACTGAGAGGCGAGTAAAACCTCTCTGTGTGTGTGTGTGTGTGTGTGAGAGAGAGAGAGACAGAGACAGAGAGAGAGAGAGACAGAGAGAGAGAGAGAGAGGTGTGTGCTGTGGATGGAACATGGAACCCAGGGCCTTGCACACACCAGGCAAGCGCTCTACCCCTGAGCTCCACCCCAGACCGAGGCTGTAAAATCTTCAGTGAGAATGTCAAGTGGAAAACCAGCCTGGGGTTTCCTCAAACAAGCACAGAGCTACCACATGACCCAGCAGCTCCACTCCTGGACACACACCCACGGGCACAGGACGACACGCTCACACGAAACCCGCACGCCAGCCCTATGAGTCACAAAAGCCTAGAGGTGAGAACAACCCAAGTGACCATCGACTGACGAATGGACAGACAAACCACAGTGTGTCCGTCCATACAGCATTGAAACAGAGGTGGCTTGACCTTAGGTTTTTTTCCCTACCAACCAAAGTTACAGGTGCTTACGGATTGACTCCATCAATCAGTAAGTGGAAGACTTCACTGAACCGGCGAGGGATCAAGTTTGGTGCTCTAGGTTGGCTGCCATGCCTCTCAGGAGCCTGTCCCCAGCCCCTGGTATGTAGGTAGTCAAGCGACCTGCCCTCTCCTCTCAGTTCCCTGGGGCCAGCAGCCTGGCTCTGTGCCCTGCAGGGAGCACCCAGAGGACCCCCACCCCTTCCTGTAGCCCCTAGACTCCCACAGGAAGCCCCATGGCTTAAGACTGGTCCCTGATGGCTGGGGACAGAGGACACCTGGGGTCCAGGCTGAGGGCTGGCCTGGCTGTGCTGACTGTGAACAGTACCCTCCCCAGAGCCCCTGGCTCGGCCACAGGCCAGCAGGTTCTAGCCCCTGCCCCCCAAGGACCCTCTCTTGTTTGGGGCCAGAGCCTGGAGCAGTGAGACTTTGTCTTGCCCAGAAAGCCACTGCCGCCATCTCACAAGAGCTTGGCATTTCCTGAGTTTACACTAAACCCCAGCTGGCTGGCTCCTCAGAGCCACCCTGGGAGGGCACTGTGCCCACCTTGGAGATGCCAGAGGAGCAGGCCTCCCGGGGCTTCCCTTCCATTGCTATCCCCAGGGCCCAGACTGGGTCTCCTAAGAGGAGCAGGGGCTTTAAGTTCCAGTCTTGATGGTTCCAGGGACAGTGGGGATAGTGGGACCAAATCTAAAGGAGACCACAGCAGCTGAGCCTTCCCGGTGTCCTCAGAGTGTGGCGCAGGTGAGCAGCCGTCACCTACTGTGTACCAAGCACGTCACACGTTGACTCACCAAATGTACAAGCAACCCTGGCAGCAGAGACCATCGGTGCCACTTTACGGAAAGCCCACTGAGTCCCAGGGGTTAAGTTACCTGCTCGAAATCGTAGGCTCAGAAGCAGCAGGGTCTAGATCCGCTCCCAGGTGGTCTGGCTCCAGGGTCTTTGACCGACCCCTCCCCTCTTTACTGAGGCTTGTTTGCTTATATTTTAGTCCAATAAACATTGGCTTTGTTCCTTTTCCATCCAGACTTTGGAGCAAGAGGGCAGAATAAGCCCCGTCCAGCATGGGAAACAGTATCCAGGACTGACTGACTGGGAGCAGGCGGAGGGAGGTGGCGTCCACGGAGGGTGGGGGCCTGAGATCTTCATTTCACCTCCACCATACCTTGCTGTGTGGCCCTGGGAAAGGCCTAGCCTCTCTGAGCCTAGGTCGCCCCATCATATCTTGAGTTTTGGCTGGCTCCCTGAGAGATGTCCCTGGCCAACCAAGTGGGAGGTGAGGCTCTGCCCGCCCTCCCCCGAGGGCACGCAGACTTTCATACCAGTGGGTTCCTTTTGAAGAAAAGGTTTGGGAAGGAGATCGGAATCAGTCAGGCCTGAGGCTCCTTGGGCTTGGTGTCTGGGCTGGCGTCTCTGAAGGGCTTTCTGGGGGAAGAGGCCTTTGACCTTAAAAAGGGGAACATCTTCTGTCGTCTTGCTACAGGGCTGGGACCTTCTGTGAACCTGAGGCAGCACAGAGTCTAGAGAGCCACATTTTAGTGGGAATGACGCCTGGCATTTTTGCCAGAGGGAATGGTTGAAAGGTGACCCTGCTCTGGGATTAGGGCGGATCCTGCTGCCTGGATCCTGGCACCCACTACTTTGGAGTTCCCGTGGAGTTCTCCCAGGGTTACGGGAGAATGGGCGCGGGGAGCCCAGTGGAGGGAGTGTGTTCCCGGGAAGTGTGTGTGGAGTTCGCGGATAAAGAGTTGCCGTTTGAAGCTACAAGGCTTGGTGGCGGCTCGGTTATTTTGTGCCCAGCCAGACTGCGGCAACAGAGGCCCCCTTTCCAACCCAGAAAGATTTCAGACATGTCACTCAGAGTAACGGGCATGAGTTTATTGGGAGGGATAAGAAAGAAGAACAGGGGACCTCTTGGAGGACAGAGCGGGTCCTCTCAGAGAGGAGGGGCAGGTGCCTCTCTGCGCTCACTGTCATGGGCTCCAGGGAAGTTTCCAGAGAGTCCTTCCCAGGTCCAGCTCTTGACTTGGGACTGACAGCAGGATGACATCAGACTTTCAAGTCCCCACTGTGGGTGACAACTCTGGGTCACTTTGGCCCATGCTGATTGGTTCTAATTGGAATCTGTTCTTACGGATTCTATGATTAGGAGGAATTATCTTTATCTCCCTGAGTTCTGGGATCTGGTCTGTGAAAGGGTCACAGAGGTCCCCGCGGCAGGATACCCTGTTGTTCTTGTCTCTGGGGCCTGCAGGTCGCCTTCAGAGAACAGGTAGTTTGCTGAGGAATGTGACCTACTTGTGCTCTTAAGCCAGACAGGGTGGCAGGTAAATTGCTTTTTAAAAGTGAAAGTGTGTGGGGTGGGGGTGGTCAGCACAGTGGCCCCAGTTTATAGAATCATTCCCTAACCTCACGTTCCCACCACTCCTGGTCCTCTATCACTCTTAGAGTCTGTGGCACCACCTGGCCTAGACTGTCCCACAGGTCTCCAGGACAGAGGGTTACATCTTTTCCACTTCCCCCAAAGTTCCACGACAAGCCAGTCCCCTTTCCCTGAAGGAGCTGCGGGTGGGTGGTGGCGTCCACGGCTTCCTGTTTGGGTGGAAGTGGCCCAATGGGTGAATTGAGCTGGGCTGACCCAGCTGGATGACCTTGGGCCAGATGCTTGACCTCTCTGAACCTCCATACCCTTCACGTAGGATTATAATTAGTACCCACCTTGCGGGACTGCTGTGGGGGTGAGCAGGGCGCCTGGCACACACTAGGCACTCAATGAATGGGCAGCTATAATTACTCCTGGGGCGGGGGCAGCCGGCCTATGTTTAGCCCGGGAAGGGTGGGGGCGCCGCAGACAAAGCGGCCCTGCGGGCGCCCAGGGGGAGGAGCCGACGAAAGATGGGCGGCGCCCCCACGTCCCCGCCCTAGCCTGCCGCAGGGTCACCTTGGCTGGAGCGCCGGCCAAGAGCTCCCTGAGACCGGACCAGCCCTGTCGGAAGCGGCCGATCGCCCTCGTGTCCCCAGACTGTGATCCCACCGGGAAGTCGCCCCCTTTTCCAGCCCGAGAGAGAGCCGCTAGGCTGGTGTCGCGGCGCCCAGGCGAACTTGACCTTGGGGGGGGAGGGGGCGAAGACGCAAAGCCAGTTGGGTCTGTCCCCATCCCCCAGCCCCGCGCGGACGAATGTTGGGTCTGCAAATAGCCCAGTGGAATCAGTGAGTCACGGAGGCTGGAAATACCGCACCCCTTCTCCCCTCCAGTCCTCTGACCGCAGCCTGGTACTCCGATTTCAGTAGTGCCTGGGGGTGTGCAGGGTGGGGGTTCCTCCAGAGAGCACCCCCCCCCCAGGCTTCCTGAACTAGTCAGCACCCCACCCTGTCCCCAGGTTCCAGCCGGCTGAGCTCTGGAGCTGTGTGACCTTGGGCTAGTCACTCAGTCACTCTGGACCTCAGAGCTTCCATCTGGTAGAAGGGCTTCAAAAGTCAGGGGACCTTGTGCAGCCTGCCCAGTCTTGTGTCCCTTGCACCTGTGACAGTTTGGGGCGTAGTTCTTGGTACATAGTCACAAACAATAAATGTCTCTTGCAATAATGAATGAATCTAAAGGGGGGGCCGTAGGCAGCTGGGGGACAGGGAATACAGGACTTTCATTGAAATAATCCTGGGGTTTCTGCAGGTGGGTTTGGGGAGCCAAGGGAGGCTGGGGGCACCCACATTTCCCTGAGAGCTTAAACTTTAAATTGTCTGTTTATCCTGGGCTCCCTTGCCTGGCTGCTTCCTGCCCAACCCCAGGTTTGAGAATCTCAGGCTGTGGCCCTGCAGCAGACTGCAACACTGTGTTTATTGTGTGTGCAGATTACAAAGCCCGGACCCTCCCATGGCCCCCACCCCCGATTCCCCCCAGGATCCCAGAATGGCTCTCTACAGCGTGAGGGCCGAGGCTGGGGGGCTCCACCTGTCCTGGGGCCCCCAAAGACTGAGCCATCACCCCCCTCACCTTTCTGTATGTGGGAGACTGAGTCAGGGTCTTGGGAGTGGCTGAAGTTCACCAGGGTCAAAGTTGATGGGGTCCCTACCCTGGCTCAGGGACCAGGAAGGACCTGGAACGAAGATCTTCCTGTGATTCCTTCCCCAACTGGATGGAAGGAGACCGTGGTGGGGGCAGCCAGCAGCTGAGATGTCCTGGGTTCAGATCCAACCTTCAGCGACAAAGCCCGACATCCAACAGTTCAGAGACACGGCTTTCCCATTGACGAAAATGGAAACACTAACACTAAGTCTGATTTTTTTTTCTTTTTGGTACTGGGGATTGACCCCAGGAGAGCTCCACCACTGAACCACATTCCGGCCCTTTTTATTTTCATTTTGAGACAGAGTCTTGCTAAATTGCCCAGGCTGGCCTCGAACTTTCGATTTTTCGGCCTCAGCCTCCTGAGTTGCTGGGATTACCAGTTTCTGCCGCAGTTCCCAGGCTCGAGCTGATTTTATATGCTCTGAATCCAGCCCCTACCAAGGTTAATGCCGAGTATTTGAAGGACAGTGATGAGACGTGTGTGTGTGTGCCTGTGTGCATGTGTGCGCTACACACACCAACCTGTGGATTCCTAGATTAAGGAGAGGGAGGGCTGCAAGAGGCTGGGTCCGACTCGCCATCCCCGCTCTCACTCCCACCTTGGGGTCCTGTCTGCTGTAGGAACAGCCTCATTTGGGCCCAGCCTCACCTGGAGGCAGCAGCAGGTAGGGGCAGCAGGAGTTTCACACTGTTTACCACCAGCCAGCTGTATTGGAAAAACCCATCTGTGCACAGACACAGAGTGCCCAGCCCTGGCACAGCTGGCTGGCTGGGGCACAGGGCAGCGGGCAGCCTGCCATCTGGTTTGGGGCTTGGAGGGCGGCAGAGGGAGATTTCTGGGATGGCCGACTCCTGGCCTCCGTGAGCCCTCCTGCAGTTCCATCCAGGTGACCACCTCTGTCTGGCCTTCCCTGTTCTGCCCATCCCTAGATCCTGCCCCTGCCTTGCAGAGACTCCACAGATCAAAGGTTTGTCTGCCTGTCTATCCTGCAGATGATTCGCCCAGAAGCCCTGCCTGTCCCCATCCTGTTTTCCCAAAATAGGTTCTTTGGGACCTCCCTGCCCCTCCTAACCCCTGTATTCTGAATTAAGTAAAGGAGACCATATCTGGAATCTGGGGTCCATGGGTGGGCCAAGGAGGTCCCTGGCCTGCCTGGGCAGAGGGGAGGGCCCTGGTTGGAGGGGATAGCCCGCCTGGGGCCTGGGGCTGCGGGGGGCTGTGATGTCCTGCGGGCTGTCGTGGAGGGACAGGGAGACCTGTCTGGCAGGCAAGGGGAGGTGGGCTGGGAGGGCGGGTGGGGGAGGCCCTCAGATTTTGATCTCCGTCCGGAAGGTCTGCTGGACGTGCTCTGTGTGCGGGTGACGCCGCGCCCGGATGGTGAGGCTGCCATCCTCCCGCAGGGCTGAGGTCACCGAGGTCGGGTCCACGTCCTCTGGCAGCTGGCACTTGTGAGCAAAGGTGTTCATGACTGTGCCATCTGCCGCCAGCTGGGGAGGGTGACAGGTCAGGGAAGGCTGCCCCTCAGCCCTGTCCTTTCATCTCAAGCCACAAGCCCTCCTCCCCACTCTGATCCCAGCCGGGCTCCGAGTGCTGAGGGTTCTGCTGTCACGTGTGGAGGGGCGGCCACGGCCACGGGTCTGCAGGGACAGGTGCAGAGGTGCATGGAAGGACTCCAGTGGTCCCAACGGGGGAAGAGGGGCTTGGTGCCCAGGTGACCGCAGCGAGGGCGAGGCTCCGTGACAGACACTAGGACTCTGGGGCTCCTTAGCAGTGCCCTCTTGGATACCCAGACACCCTGGGTCCGCCCACCAGGACCAGGCCACCGCCCTCCCCGACAGCTCAGCCAGCACATAGTGTCCAGAGGAGTCTGGCCGGCTGAGTCACCGTCAGGGTGACAGGGCTGGCACGTGCTGCCCCTGGCCCTGGTCCTCAGCACCGGTGGCCGGGGTTCTCGGGACCAGCTCCCTGTGTACAGGGGAGGAGGCCGCTGGGGACAGAGAAACCTGTGCAGATCCCTGACAGGCAACTGGCCACAGTGGTCTGGGGCTGCTTCCTTGCAGGCTCGGCCCCGCCCCTCTCTGGGGTGAAGGCCCCAGTGTCTCCTGGGAGCTCAGACTCAGGGACCCTAGTGACCCAGTGACCCTGAGCCTGTGGGTGGAGGAATGTGTGGTCTGGAGTGTGTGACCCTGAACTGCAGGGCCTCTGCCCGGTGGGGGGCCCAGCTGGGGGCCCCAAGGTGAGGCCTGGGCCTCTGGCTCTGGGTGGAAGAGGGATGGAGGTGTGGCAGTGGGGACACCCCGCCCTCTGTTGCCAGAACTGCAGTCCTCATGCCACCATTCCATCTATCTCCTGTCACATCCTTGTGACTCACCCCCTGGCGTCCCCTCAGTCTACATCCCCCCCCTCCTGCCCACCCCTAGGCCACTCAGCTGCCCGGGCTCCTGAAGGCTGAATCTGGCAGCTTTCAGAGGGTGGGAGGACCCCTGACCCAGGAGCTGCAGGGACAAGAACTCCAGTGTGCTCTGGGCGAGTTGGGTGGGCAGGGGACACTGGCAAGGGTCTGAGGTCTCAGGATGGGAGGTGGGAGTAGGGGACACCGAGGGCAGGACTAGGCAGGGGTGCAGAGGGGAGGTGCAGGGGGAGGCCAGGCTCACCTTCTCGGCCCGCACCTCGATGTGGTTGTTGGAGGTGGTGACGATGATGTCTTCGGGGGAGAAGTCCCTCACATCCACTGCAAACTCATAGGCGTCTCCCAGGGTCTTGATGTTGCCGGCCCCCGCGGGGCGGGCTGTGGGGAGGGCAGCGGTGAGCTGGGCATGGGCAGGGGTCGTGTCCAGAACCTGCTCTCTGTCCTTCTCTTGGGAAGCAGGTGGCTGTCCCAGGTGACCTCCCCTCCATGGTGCTTGGGGGGCCCCTCCTCGCCGTCCTAGCCCAGCTTCTGTGGTGGGTGGGCCTCCCTCCAGACAGTGTGTGCGTGTGCACTTGAGTGACACAGTCTGCGGCGGCCCCACCCAGTCCAGGAGGCTCGGGCTGCCTGCCACATCTCTGTCCCCTCCAGCCCTCCAGGGTCCCAGCCAGAGCCTGGTCACAGGTGCATGGTCACTGAAGCCATATCTCACCCCAGGGCCACCACGGCTCCTTGGAGGCCCACCTGTTTTCAGGACCACCTCTGTCCTGGCAGGTGGCAGCCCCAGTGGGAGTCCCCAACCTGAGCATCTCCCCCCCCTCCCCAGAGCCCCCAGCACTTGCCTGGGAAGGCCAGGGGCTCCGAGTGGGGTCGCATGAAGCTGCCGAAATCCTCAGAAAACATGCTCAAGGCCTTCTCCATGGGGGGGTCCTGGGCTGGGAGGGCCCGGGAGGCCGAGGAGGAGGAGGAAGATGAGGAGGAGGAGGAGGAGGAGGAGGAGTGGAAGCTTCTCTCCGCTCTGAAGGAGGAGGAGGTTCGGTGGCTCATCCACAGGCGACACCGGCCTGTCCAGGCGGCCAGGGGAAGACAGGAGAAGGATGTGGCGCAGGCCTCCAGGGGAGCGTGCCTGGCCCGGACTGCCAGCGCTTTATAAGGCCCGACAGTCGCTGGGCTCGGGGCCAGCCCCCTTGTCTACCAGCTAAATTTAGGCCTCTCCACGGCCCAGAGGGGGCTGGAAGTCTTCTCCGGAGAATTGGCGCTGCTGACAGCCAGACGCACGCAGGCCGAGGGCTGAGCTCACCCTGGCATTCCAGGCCTCGCTCCAGCCAGGGCCTCCGTGCCCACAGGGCAGGGGTGGGCCCTGGGCCCCAGGCACGGAGTCCTGTGCTGTCCCAGGACCATGTGGGTTTGGTGATTCCCCCAGCAACTTGGGGACTGTGCTTCCCCCATCAAACCCCTTGAGGTCCTCGGATGCACACGGCTCTGTTTACAGCCCGGCTTAGGCTGAGACAGCCCTGGGGGCGGGTAGAGTGTGGGCTGTGACCCTGCCACTGCCACGGGGCCTGGATTCCGTGTCCCTCATCCCCTTCTCGGAACATTTAGGGCCCCAGAGAGGAGAAAGCTGTCAGCGCCAGGCAGAGCTGGGGGTGGGCCCACAGGGGGTGGGGGGTGGGGGCAGATAACTTGGTGATTGTCCCTAAAGATCCAGGAGGTCAAGTTCCCAGCAACTGCGAGCCTGACCTCCAGCTCCGGAGATCCCGGGCTGCAGTCGGAGGATCTGAGTTGACGAGAATTCTGGAGACAGTATTCCAGTCCTGCCTTCTGGGCCCAGAGCCCCACTGTGGGCTCTCCAGCAGGCCCCGCTGGCCCCCACAGTCACAAGGAGGAGAAATGTGCCCATTTTAAAGACTGAGAAATGGAACCTCAGAGCAAGGGTCGGGAACCTGGAGGTGTCAGATCCAGACCCTTCCTGAACATGCGCTTATGGCAACAGGCTGGACCCGAAGCCCTGAGAAGCCCCATCTGTCCACCCCCTGCTCAGAGAGCTACGCTGAGGGCTGGGCCAGGAGGTAGAAGCCAGGGGAAGGCCCTTCTGGGTGGCCTGCCCTGTCCAAGAGCGGTCAGGGACCTCCACTCTCCTCTTTAACCCCTCCCTCACCCATGGAAGCCTCTGAGTGCTCCAGTCCATCCAGAGCCCCGTCCAGGTGCCCATGACACCTGTCCCTGTCCCTGTGCCATGGCCTTCCTTGATCTAAGAGGGCAGCATCCTCCCCACATCTGCCAGGGCATCTCCCGGGCAGGATTCTCTGGTCTCCCTGTGGACAGGGGGTCCCTGCAGAGGGATGGCCTCTCCTCTCGGCTCCCATGAAGCCCAGCCCGGAGCTTTCCCTTCGGGAACTCCTGCCATCACTGGGGCTACTGGTGTGTGACGCAGGGGCAGGCAGGGCACAGGGGCCAGGGTGGCACTGCAGCAAGAGAAGTTTGTTGTCCCCGTGGAGATGAGATGCCTGCCTGTGTTGGCCGGTCACATAACTGACCGAGGGGGTTCTGGCAGCGCCCAGGGAAGTGACCAGCACTGAGTGAGGTGGGGGAAGGATGGGGGGCCCAGGAGCCCGCCACCCGCCAGGGTGACAGGAGCCAGGGCTAAATGCAGATATTCAGTCATGGTGCCCAGGGCCTGAGTCATGGCCCCTGGACGTCGGATCCCTTTACCCACCCCGCCCACCAGCCCTCCTCCCTTCCCCCATCCCCAGGCGTCATGCACATAAATACTGAATGGTTCAGTGGCCAGGAGGAACCTCAAAAGGTCATCGAGGCCATTCCTTAACTCTAGACCTCTTCCTGGGGATCACAGGAATGGGAGGAGCTTCAAGGAGGATCCAGTCCCTGGAGTCCAGAGGTGGCCCCACCCACCTGGAGGCTTTTCACAAACACAGCTCCCCAAAGCCAGCTGGGCACAGGCCTGTGATCCCAGCCACTCAGGAGGCCGAGGCAGGAGGGCCGCAAGTTCAAGGCCAGACTGGGCAACTTAGCCAAGACCCTGTGTCCCAATGAGAGTAGGAGGGCTGGGGACGTGATTCAGTGGTAAAGTGCTCCTGGGTTCAATCCTCGATACTGGGGCGAAAGTCACCCCCCAAGATTCTGATTTGGGGTTTGGGAAGAACCAAGACCTGTTCTCAGCTCCCCTACAGCCAGCCCTGAGGCCAGTGTTCTGGAACCTGGGGTGGAACACCTCCCCCATGTGCCGGGCACTGCTCTAGGCTGGGGCACTTGGATGTGGGAGGCACTGGCCGTCACAGGCACAGGCACACACTGTCCTAGGCCATCCTCATTGGGCAGAAGAGGAAACCGAGGCTCTAAGTGGGGAAAGGGTTGGCTGGCAGAACTGGCTTCAAACCTGCTCGGAACCTACTGAGCCATCTGTACATCTGCCAGGCACTTGGAGAAACTGGAGGCTGGCTTGGGGACAGTGGCTTTGGGAGGGACTTGCCCCAGGGACTGTGTCTCCTTGCTGCCCTCTTCCCAGTTTCCTGGTGCTCAAAGGACCAGGGATCAAGGGTGTGGGCATGGTTTGGCTGTGGGATTGTGGTGGCAGCTGCCTGAGACCAGAGACTGGGGTTTGAGGTGTCAACAGGGCAGTCCCTATCCAATCCTGTGACTGTCCATGGTGGACAGTCAGAGAGGCTGAGGTGAGGGCATGCCCAGTCCACGCAGAGCACAAACCCTCACCCCCTGACATCACCAACGACGCTCCAGCTCCTACTTGAATGGACTTGGCCTGGCGTCCAGGGCAGAGGCAGCTCAGCGTCCCAGAACTGAGCAAATCAATGAAGTATCATTGTGATTTTCAGAGTGGTGGCTTTGGCGTGGGCAGCAATTGTCTCATATCCCTTGCCCAAATCTTCTAAAAGTGGCAATAGAAACCCTCAGCTTTGTGCCCAGATCATGGCTGGAGAAACTCCCAGTAGGGGAAGAGCTGCACAGTCTAGGTCTGAGTGCAGCCTCTGCTGTATGATCTCGGCTGAGTGACTGCACCTCTCTGGTCTTCCATTTATCATCCTCAAAGTGGTAATGATATCCCTGACTCCCAAGGGTGTGGGGAGGATGAGCTGAATTGCAGATGTAGAGCCAGTGGCTGGCACACAAAGCTTGCTCCCTTACCCTAACCCTGATGCCTGTGTTCCTAGCTTCTGCTGAGGTGAGACCAGGTCTGGGGAATTTACCTAGAGGCCCTAGGCCAGAGCCGGTGCCCCAGGACGCTGTGGGTTTGACAGGCAGTTTTCTGGGACTTGAGGGTCCAGACACAAAGATCAAGTTCCCAAGTTCCTCAGCAGGCTCTGAGGGTTCAGTCACCCCAGGCCACTGTCCTTGGGCTCCTCCTGCCCCTGAATAAGACGGGGCCATCAGGGCAGAACCACATCTGGCTGTTTTCTGTTGTTACGGTGGTGGTGTCTTGAGATGGGGTCTTGGGGACTTGCAACGTTGCCCAGGCTGGGCTTGAACTCCTGGGCTCACGCGATCCTCGTGCCTCAGCTTCCCAAGTAGCTGGGACTGTAGGTGTGCCACACACCCGGCCTGCCTCTCTGATCTCTGGCAAGAAAGCTTACCTCTCTGCGATGCCATTTCTTTAAAACAGGATGACACTGCCAGGCACAGTGAGGCACTCAGGTAATCCCAGCAGCTCGGGAGGCTGAGGCAGGAGGATCGCAAGTTGGAGGTCAGCCTCAGCAATTTAGGGAGGCCCTAAGCAACTTAGTGACACCCTGTCTCAAAATAAAAAATAAAAAGGGCTAGGGATGTAGCTCAGTGGGTTCAATCCCTGGTACCAAAACAAAACAAAAACAAAAACAAAAAAAACAGGATGACACTGCCACCTCGCTGGGTTTCTGTGAGCACTCAGTCATTCTTCGGAGGACTGAGCCCTGCCAGCACTCGGCAGGGCACAGCCATGCTCCCCACCTGCTGCCAGTGTGTTCCCCTGCTCCACGCCCCGCTCCCCCGCTCCCAGGTCGACCCTGAGAACCCAGAGCCCCAAGCCTAACCCTCACCCTCAGCGGAGGACCTCTCCCTGTCCTACAGGAGCACTGGTGTCCCCCTCCGGCCCGGCCCCTAGGAGCCCCACCGGTGCTGCTGTGAAGTCAGCTGCCACTCTCTGCCAGCTCTGGTGTGGAGGGGACACTCCTCTCCCTCCCCGCCATGGGCAGCCCTGCTCTGCAGGCTCAGTGGACTCAGGCAGTTCTGGTTGGTTTGTCAAGGACATTCTCAATGCCACAGTGAACCTGGGCCGGGCGGGGGCGGGGAGGGTGTTGATTGGTGGAGTGCACACCTGTCCAGGTGCACTAGACCTGGACGCAAAGAGGCTGTTAGAAGAGGCCGGTCGGGGCCACAGCAGGACAGCAGGGCAGGAAGGACTGACGGGTGAGGAGCTGCCGGAGCAGCGCAGGGACATGGTTGGGACCTGCTGGGGCCGGGGCAGGCAAGGCAGGAAGAGGCTGGGGCAGGAGCCAGCGCCTCACTTGGATGCTCAAGGGTCTCCTTCTGGGCCTGGGATTTTCCTGCCTCCTGTGGCCTGAGTGGAGGGTCACAGCTGCTCAGGGATGGGCGTGGGGGATCAGAGTCACCAGGGGGACCCTGCAGTGAGACAGTGACATCCCTGGGTGGTAGAAGCAGCCTAGGGTCCCAGGAGAGCAGTGCAGGGCCAGGGAGAGAAGAGGCTCCAGCCAGGGGTCTGGGCTGGACATGGGGGATGCCTAGGAACCCCCACCTGCCCATCAGACACGCCCTCCACCCCTCGGGGACAGAGCCTCTGTGACCAGGACCTGCGTCCCATCCTGATAAGTGCCTGAGTGCACATTCACATGCACCAGCTACACAGGCACACGGGACCTGCCTTTCCACTCAGGAGACTGAGACCTGGAGAGGCTGGAGGCAGGTGAGGCTGAGGCTGCTCACCCAGGGTCTGTCTGTCTGTCTGCTCTTCAGGGCCCCATGGAGGAGCTGGTAGGGCTGCGTGAGGGCTCCTCGGGGAGCCCCGTGACTCTGCAGGAGCTGTGGGGCCCGTGTCCCCGCATTCGCCGAGGCATCCGAGGTGAGAGCTGGGTCCCTTGCACTGCCCACCAGTGACCCCTCAGGACGTCACCTGCAGCCCCAGCCCACCCCAGCCCCTCCCTTCCCTCAGCCCTGGCCACGCTGCCCGGGCTCTCTTGGGTGGCAGGGAGAGCAGGGGCCTGCCTGCCCCTCTGTCTGTGGGCCAGCCGTGCCAGGGTCTGCCCTCTGCCTTTGGCCACCATGGAGGGGTGCTGCCTGGGGCCCAGGGCTCGATGGCCCACAGGCCCTGGGACAACGCAGGTCCTGCTGACTGCGTGCTCTCTGCACCCCAGACCCTGCCGAGACGCTGGCGAGGGCTGTAACTGCCACCCGCTCCGGGCCACCCCCTGACCGCTTTCCACAGGACTCCCAGTATGCGGGGGAGGGTGGACAGTCAAAGGCTCTCTGGGGGGGACAATAGGACTGGCTTTACCTGCCCCCAGTCCTCTGGGCCCTCAGGAGGCAGAGCCGCCTCCGGCTCCCCTGGCCCCGCCCCCGCCCCAGAAGTCCTCCAGGGAGGGCCGTCCCTGCTGGTCCCCCAGGAGGTGACCCAGTGCTCTGCCCAGGGGGCCTGGAGTGGCTGAAGCAGAAGCTGTTCCGCGTGGGTGAGGACTGGTACTTCCTGATGACCCTCGGGGTGCTCATGGCCCTGATCAGCTACGCCATGAACTTCGCCATCGCGCGAGTGGTCCGAGGTAGCCCTCCCTGGCACGCCCGCTCTGGACCTGGGCTTCCGGCACACACCGGGGATGCCACGTGGGCTGCCAAGCGCAGCAGGGTGGGCAGGGCCCTGGGGACGAGGCCTGGGGCTGACCCTGGCTTTGCTGCTGACTTGCTGTATGGCCCTGGGAAAGCTCCTGGCCCTCTCTGGGCAGTCACTTCATCTGGACAGTGAGGGAGACAGCTGCTCCCAGATCCCTTCCCAGCTGAGCACTGGGCCTCCTGTTCCTCCCCCAGCCTCGCTCCCTGCTCTCAGCTCAGTTACCCTGGACTCCAGGCATATGGCTTTCTGTCCCTGTCCCTCAGCTGGCCTCCACCCTGAGGCCTTCCTGGAGGAGGAGGCATGGGGCAGGAGAGGTCTAAGAACTTTCATTGGAGAATCCACTGCCTTAATGAGGACCTGTCACCCGAGGGGCCTCACACCGGGTCTCATTCAGGCCTCGACAGGTCTCCTGTAGTCTTTGGTGACCCTGAGAGGGAGGCATCCACACTCGTCCGTTTGGCAGATGGGAAAACAAAGGCCCAGAGAGATTGAGTCACTTGCCCAAGGTCACTCAGCTAGGAAGTAGCAAAACTAGACATGGGGACCCAGGTCCTACTCCTACCACTTCTTGGGGATTGGCCACTCACTGGGTGGCTGCGAATCTCCATTTCCTGGTGAGCAAGTGTCCCCCACAGCATCAGGCCTGAGGGCTGCAGAGGCTGTGGGTGGCCCCCTGATACCTGGCCATCCCCAGCGCACAAGTGGCTGTACCGGGAGATTGGGGACAGCCACCTGCTCCGGTACCTCTCCTGGACCGTGTACCCAGTGACCCTCCTCTCCTTCTCCTCCGGCTTCTCCCAGAGCATCACGCCCTTCTCTGGCGGTGAGTTCGTGGGCACCACGCCAGTCTCTCGGGGGTCCTGCACTGCAGCCCTCACAGGCCCAAGCCTTTTGAAGTCCCATGGGGCTCCGGGGGGTGGGGGGAACAGGACAGGTGATGGCAGGCTCCCCTGACAGGCTGGCCAAGGCCAGACCAAGGAGCAGCTGGTGGAGCAGCCAGCTTCCCCAGGCCTCTAGTGCAGCCTCCAGAGAGTGGGGGCTCTCAGGCGTCTCCAGGGTGGCCTGTCATTCCACCCTGGGACCCCCTACCCTGCCACTGAGGTCTGCCAGACCTGAGCAGAAAACAACCCACATCTCTGACCCTCAGTCTCCTCCTCTGCAAAGTGAGGCTCTGAATCGGAACCGCGTGGGTGTATGAGGCTCCGACCTGATGGTGACCTGAAAACCCTGTGCCCAGGGCAGAGGGTTAAGAGTTCCAATACTGACTCTCACCCCGCCCTCCTCCCCGCCGAGGTTCTGGAATCCCGGAGCTGAAGACCATCCTGTCGGGGGTGGTCCTGGAGGACTACCTGGACATCAAGAACTTCGGGGCCAAGGTGGTGGGCCTCTCCTGCACCCTGGCCGCCGGCAGCACCATCTTCCTGGGCAAAGTGGTACGGGCAGTGTGGGGCACCCGCCCGGCTTCCGCCCCTCTGCCCTTCCCCCACCACAGCCAGTCCTGCCTTTGAGCTCAGTTCTGGGGGGACAGGCAAGACAGGTCCCCAGATGGGGCAGAGTCCTATCAGGACGGCCCTGGGGTTTGGAGGAAGGTGAGAGAGGGGAACCTGTTGTCCCCGGGGAGGCTCCGCCAGCAGCGAGGGTGGGCCCCCGGCTCCCCAGGCCCTGCACCCACGCCTCGCCCTGGCAGGGTCCCTTCGTGCACCTGAGTGTGATGATTGCCGCCTACCTGGGACGCGTGCGCACCAGGACCATCGGGGAGCCCCAGGTGAGCGCCCGGGAGGCCCCTTGGAGGAATGGGAGGGCGCGTGGGGAGGAGGCTGGCTCCACCCCAGGACTCCACCGCAGAACAAGAGCAAGCAAAACGAAATGCTGGTGGCGGCAGCGGCAGTGGGCGTGGCCACCGTCTTCGCAGCCCCCTTCAGCGGTGAGACCCTCCCTCCCGCCCCTGCCCCTGCCCCTGCCCCTGCACTCGGGTTCCCACGCGCCCCTGTGGTCCGCTTGCTCCGCCCCGGGTCCGGAGGAGGGGTTGGGCTGAATTCCAGTTCTCACTGCTGTCCTGCTGTGGGCACGACCCCCCCCCCAGGAGGTTGGCAGGTGTTCAGTGGCTTCAGGGTTACCTTAGACAGACGTGGGTTTGAAGCCCAGCTCCCGCTGTGTGACCCCTGCCAGTGAGTTCACCTCTCTGAGCTGGGTTTCCTTAGCAGTAAAATGGGGATCAAAGCAGTCCCTGCGTGACAGGTGAGGAGAAAGAAGGACACGGGTAGACATCCCACAGCAGGCTGGTGCTCCCTGGTCAGCGAGGTCCTCTCTTCCTCTCTACCCAGGGCTCAAGCCCTGACCTCCGCCACTCCAGGGAGATGGGTGGCCCTGGCTGTCCAGGCTGCAGAGCAGATCAGAAAAGGGTCAGGGAGGGGGTGGCAGGGGCTCCCGCAGGGCGGATGGGGGCGGGCAGCTGTCCTGAGCTCAGTGTGGCCCCAGGCGTCCTGTTCAGCATCGAGGTCATGTCCTCCCACTTCTCCGTCTGGGATTACTGGAGGGGCTTCTTCGCCTCCACCTGTGGGGCCTTCATGTTCCGGCTGCTGGCCGTCTTCAACAGCGAGCAGGGTGAGCCCGGGACTGCGGTGCCCACCCGTGCCTGTCCCGCTCCTCCCTCCCTCCCTCCTCCGTCCATCCTTGGTCCGCCCCCCTCCCACTTCCCTCTCCCCCGTGTGTCCTCTTTGTGCTCCTTCCAGGAGGGTGGGAGGGTGTTGGGGTGCAGGAGGAGGGGGAAGGCCCTGGGGTGGGCCCTGGGGTGGCCTGGAGCTGGAGAGGGAGGCTGGTGGGGCCTTGAGGGAGGGGCGATTTTGCTTCCACCTCCTCCCCGACCTGTTGTGCCACCTGAGACCCCCGCTGCCCTCCTGCCCCAGAGACCATCACCTCCCTCTACAAGACCAGCTTCCGCGTGGACGTGCCCTTTGACCTGCCAGAGATCTTCTTTTTTGTGGCACTGGGGTGAGCCGGGCTTGGTCCCTGAGAGCCAGCTGGGGGCCTCCTCCAGCCCAAGTGGGCAGGGGCCCTGGACTCACCTCCTGTCCCCCGCAGGGCCATCTGCGGCATCCTGAGCTGCGTCTACCTCTTCTGCCAGCGGATTTTCCTAGGCTTCGTCAAGACCAATCGGTTCACCTCCAAACTGCTGGCCACCAGGTGGGCTGTGGGCTGAGGCTGGGGACCACTCAGGGAGTCCCCAACTTCAGCCTTGCACCCCCAACTGAGCCCTTATCCTACCATCAAACAACCCCCAGCCCACACTCCACTTAGGGAGACCCCACTCCCTTACTGACCCCTGTGCAAGTCCCCACAGCCAGCCCCTGCACTAACCCCAGCCCCCTCCTTGAGTCCTTACACCACTGCCCCCCAACTCCCTCCCCGAGCCACCTCCCTCCCAGACCTGTCTTCCCGGCCCTCGGCCAGGACACCTGGCCTGCCCTGCCCTGGCCTGGCCCTGTCCCGTCAGCCCAGGTCCTGAGGGCTGAGCCCACCTGCTTCTTAACCTGGGGTGTCTGACCCACACCCCTGCTCGGCCTCCCTCCACCCTAGTTTTGCCTTGGGGTCAGCCCCGGGGTGGTGGGAGCAGCCCCTGCCTGGGTGAGCCCCCTTTCCCCTTCTTGGGGAGAGGAGGCCCCCACTGGAGCCGATCCTCTCAACCCAGCAAGCCTCTGTACTCGGCCCTGGCCGCCCTGGTCCTGGCCTCCATCACCTACCCGCCTGGCGTGGGCCGCTTCCTGGCTTCCAGGGTAAGGGGCGGCGGGCGGGGGTGGCGGGTGGCGGGAGTGGGGGACTCCATTCATGCCCCTTCTGTGAGCATTATCACTTAGTCCCCAGAACACCCTCCAAGGGAGATGCTGTGTGACATTTTATTGGTGAGGAAGCTAGCTCCGGGAGGTCAGGGCTGTCCCCAGGGTCCCCACTGGGAAGTGGCAGAGTAGGATCTGGAGTGCAGGGTCAGGCAGTGAGGGGGCTGGGGACATGCAGAACTGCCACCCCCCACCCTGCTGCAGCTGTCCATGAGGGAGCTATTGGACTCCCTGTTCGACAACAACTCCTGGGCACTGATGAGCCGGAACTCGTCCCCTCCCTGGCCCACGGAGCTTGACCCCCAGAACCTGTGGTTCGAATGGTACCACCCGCGCTTCACCATCTTCGGGACCCTCGCCTTCTTCCTCGTCATGAAGGTGGGCCCCCAGGTGTGCCCAGAGCCAAGGCCAGCTCTGGGCGGGCTGGGGCTGCCTCAGGCGGCCTGGAGACCTTCCACCCAGGGTCCCCGATCTGATCCCTGCTCACTGGGTGCCCAGGGCAAGTAGCTTCGGCCCTCTGACCCTCGGTGTCTTGTCTCTAAATGGGATTGCTATTGCTTCTGCCTCCAGGGAAGGCTGAGAGGGAAGAAAGGAAAGTACCTGGCAGGTGCCAGGCACACAGTGGGCTCTTTGTCGGTACCGTCCCCTGCAGCGCCATCCCTGATGGCAGCCCCTCCCTAGGAACTCCCTCTGTCCTGTCCCTCCCTTGCCCTGCACTTGGCTCCGAGGCCTCTAATTCCGGGCTCTGGGTCCCACCCCCAGTTCTGGATGCTGATCCTGGCCACCACCATCCCCATCCCCGCTGGCTACTTCTTGCCCATATTTGTTTACGGTGAGTCTGGGGTCCCGAGGGTCTGGGAGGCCCAGGGTATAGAGGCAGGGCCATGGCTCCTGGCTCCTCTCCTTCCTCCCGAGGTGGTACTGAGGATGGTCCCAGGGACAGAGGGCTGTCCCCTTCACCCTGTCACCCTCCTGTCTGTGTCCAGGAGCTGCCATCGGCCGCCTCCTGGGGGAGGCGCTCTCCGTGGCCTTCCCCGAGGGCATCGTGTCTGGAGGAGTGGTCAACCCCATCTTGCCGGGGGGCTATGCTCTGGCAGGTGAGTGGTCAGGGCCCGGCTTGGGCACAAACCTCATGGGGTCCTGGATCTGCTGGTGGCACTGCTGGGCACATGAGTGGTTACTGAGACCCTCAATCTGACCCCCACCCCCACGGAGGCCTGTCACCTCCTGACTCCCTCTTAGTTCTTGTCCTGTCCCGGTGTCACATCCCCCCATCCCTCTCCTCTGGCCATGCCCAGGCTCTGGGGTGCACCCAGTGGTGGCTGCCAGGGACCTCCCAGACACCTCCCACCCTGGCCACCTCCCACCCTGGCCACCGTTGTGGCCCTGCCCACCTCGCCCCCGAGGCTGGCTCCCACTTGAGCCACCCACCCTGGTTCTGCCGCGCAGGGGCTGCGGCCTTCTCCGGGGCGGTGACACACACCGTCTCCACGGCACTGCTGGCCTTCGAGCTGACGGGTCAGATTGTGCACGCGCTGCCCGTGCTGATGGCGGTGTTGGCGGCCAACGCCATCGCCCAGAGCTGCCAGCCGTCCTTCTACGACGGCACCATCATTGTCAAGAAGCTGCCCTACCTGCCGTGGATTCGGGGCCGCAAAATCGGGTGAGCAGTCAGCTCAGGCCCAGTGACGGTGTGGGGGAGCCCAAAGAAGCCCCTCGGCAGCCATGTGGGACAGGGGTGGGAGGGGCCGGCACACGGGGCCCCTGGCCTCAGCCTCCCCGGGGCCGCATTGGCTGCACCAAGCTGGGGCTCAGGTGCTGTCTTGCGCCAGGTCCTGAGGGCCAGCACCAGATCTGAGGTCCCCTCTGTCCTCCTGGCTCTTTCTCTGTGGTCCTTGTGCTGGTCATTGGAGGTGGACATGGAGTGGGCTTCGAGGCCCTCACTCCCCCAGGGAGGACCCACGCAGCTCCTGTCCCCAGGGAAGTGGGACTGTGAGGCTCAGGGCCCCTGGGTTGAGGTTCGGCGCCCCCGGATGCAAACTGCTAGGTTGCCCCAGGCCTCAGCTGCCCGCTGCAAGGCACGGGTGGCTACTCCAGGGGCTTCCAAATTTTAAAGTGTCTTTTTCCCTCCCATCTAACTTCCCCTCCAATGAGATTCTCCAGGAAGGCTGCCGAATAAAACAGCCCAGCAGAGCTGGGGACGCAGGGCCTCAGTGACATGGCCCCAGGTTCCTGTCCACTGTAGGGTCCCGCGAGGCACTCATTGCAGCAGCCCCTCAGTCTCCTCCCGCGCTGGAGGATCGTGGGTCCTGTCCTGGCAGAGCCACGCCCCCAGGGGCCCCTGCCCCATCCTGGGGTCTGATGTCCCCACTCCAGGACCTAAAGGGAGCATCCCTCTGCCCGCAGCTCCCACCCCGTGACCGTGGAGCACTTCATGAACTGCACTCTCACCACGCTGGCCAAGGACACGCGGCTAGAGGAGGTGGTCAAGGTCGTGACCTCCACAGACGTGGCCGAGTACCCCCTGGTAGAGAGCACAGGTGCCCAGGGAAGGGCTGGGGTGGGGGCTTCCCTCTGCCTTCCCATAGGGCCTCCAAGGAGCAGGACCAGAAAAGGCAGCCCGGGCGCAGATCCCAACCGGATCCAGGCTCTGCAGCTTAGCAGCTGTGTGATGTTGGGCAAGTCCCTTCACCTCTCTGAGCTTCAGTTTCTTCCTCAGTAAAATGGACATAAAACCACGTGTTTAAGGGATAAAAGAGGGGTGTTGTAAGGTACCCCATGAGCAGCTTTGGGACTCGTTGCAGGAGCCAGGCCTGGTGGCCTGTGGGTTGGGGAAGGCTGATGGGCCACTGTTAGGGTCTTCCAGAAGCTTCCCTCCAGGCTTCCCTGCAGAATTCCCTACCTGAGTGCCTTCTCCCAGTGACAAAGCATGTTTGTAAAGACAAATGAATGGTGGCTCTTCCACGGAAACTGAATCTCAGGGAAGGAGTGAACCAGACATCTTTCCTGTTTGAAAGTCCAGTATCTAAGTGAAGATAAGTTGGGGAGGGGTGGCCCTGCTCCATCAGGACTACTACCAGCCACACGTTCCCTCTGTGTAGTGAGACCAGGTGCACATGACATAGCTGGATTTAGTCCCTAACTGCCCTTTGGGCTGCATCTGGAGCAGTGAGCAACCTGCACAACTTTATGGGTCCCCTGTGTGCCGCCTCAAGAGGCCACTTGTGAGCTCAAGAACTGTGGCTGCATAAGTCAGTACCCTTGTCTGGAAAACGGGGATCACTATGGTAGAAAGTTGCTAGAGGTCATCACCCAAATATCAGGCACTCCTCCGCACCCTAAGGAGACCCTCGGCACTACCTTCCAGAACAGGCCTGAATCCCATTTAAAGATGCTGCACATGGCTGACCCTGCCAAGAGGCTTTCCTTGAAAGATCTCTTCTACTGAGTCACAGGAAGCAAGGAGGTCCCAAGCAGAGGGGACCAGGCGGTAGAATCAACGCCCACCCAGGAAACAGCTCTGTTGATTACGGGGGGAGGGTGCTTATAATTCTAGTTCAAGTTCTTTCCTTGTGGTGCTGGGGAAGGAACCCAGGCCCCACTCACGCGAGGTGGGTGCTCTAGCCCTGAGCTGCACACCCAGCCCAGCCCTGGAGTTTGTATTTTACTGGACGCAAGATTAAAATACCAAGCTCGCTCCTCAAAACCCACGTGCAAACCTGCAAACTCCCATGATAACCCAGGGCTAGAGAGAGGCTTGCCGAGCCCCCAGCACACAGTAGGATCACAGAACATGGCCGCCCCCTGGGTTCACTCCTATCCTGGCTGAGCTGGCTGTGGAACCTCCTGTGGGAAACCAGGAGGAAGCCCAGTCCTGCTACCCTCCTGGCCCCCGGCAGCCTTCCCCAACCACCTGAGCTGCCACACCCCCATGCCAGAAGCTGGGTGACCTTGGGCAGGACAAGAGGTTCACTGCACCTCGAAGCCTCAGTTTCCTCTTTTGTAAAGTGAGCAATCAGGGTTATAGCAGACCTAGGCTGCCCCACGCCCTCAGAGACATGGGTCGCAGCAGCACTGTCCTTGACCCTGTAGATTCTTGGTAAAGGAGAATTCCTTCTCTGTGACTCTCTCTCCGCTTGCTAGAGTCTCAGATCCTGGTGGGCATTGTGCCGAGGGCCCCGCTGGTGCAGGCCCTTCAGACCAACCCCCCATCCTGGGCTCCAGGACAACAGGTAGGTCCTCTGGAGGGATGAGTCGGGGAGGTCAGCGGGTAGTGACGGGAGGGGCCAGCTGACCTGCCCGAGAGGTGGCCTGAGAATGGCAGCCTGGGGAGGGAGCCTGGCCCAGGGCCCAACTGTGTGTCCTCCATCTCCAGCGGTGTCTCCAGGACATCTTGGCTGGGGGTTGCCCCATGGAACCAGTGACCCTGCAGCTGTCCCCAGAGACTTCCCTGCACCAGGTACCGGGGAGCATTAGAGAATGTGGGCAGACTCAGGCTGCGGGGTGGGCACACAGGGAGCAGTTGGCAGCCCCTCCCTTGTGCTGGGCTGCTCTCTGCTCCTGGGGCCTGTTCCTCCTCTGCAGGTGCCGCCTGCCTGCCCCTCACCGCCAGGGCAGAGGCCTCTGGGTAGAGAGAGGGGTTAAGTGTCACGTGGGGCCTGGTGGCTTTTAATTTTAGGTCCAGCGCATGCTCCCTGTGTAGTATCCACTCAGGACAGAGCCTGGGGAGGGGAAGAGCAGAGTAGACCAGGGGTCTGGGGGGGACCCGGCTGGTAAAGGCCACCTTTCTACCAGAGCCTTGCCCTGCTCCTTGCATGGACTCTGGCGACCCCTGGTGGTCATATTAGATATTGCAGGCCAGATCCCTCCTTCCCCCGCCTGCCCGCCCCCCATCTCAGGTCCTGGCACAGGGTCCTCTGCCCACCAACATTTCCTACTAACCTCCCCTCCAGACGCACAACCTCTTTGAGCTGTTGAACCTTCAGTCCCTCTTCGTGACGTCGCGGGGCAGAGCTGTGGGCTTCGTATCCTGGGTGGAGGTACCAGGGTCTCAAGGGCAGGGCGATGTGGGCCACCAACATCCTTCCATTCAAGGTTTGGGGGGCCTCGCAAGACTTTGATAAGCCCCATACCTGAACCAGTGTGGCCACTGGGCCTTGGCTTCCCCTAACAGCCGGCCTGCCGCTCTGGGCTGCAGGGACCCCTCTGCACAACCACGAGGCTGCAGCTCAGATGCTGGTCCAAGAACCCACCACTAGGGGAGTCACCACACCAGGGCCCCACTCTCAGCCTCCTCCACGTGCTTTCTCCCCAAACCCCGTTTTCTCTGTTGTAGTTGAAGAAAGCGATTTCCAACCTGACAAATCCACCTGCCCCGAAGTGAGCCCACCCAGCTACCCCATGCCAGGCTGGGCAGAGACCTTCCTCTCTTCCCCACCACAACCCACCCACCCCTCCAGCCCAGCTCAGTGCCTTGTGGAGCAGGCAGCGCTATGGAGCCCTGAAGAGGCCCTGCATCCGCTATGTCCCATCCTGGGGCCTACAGCAGTTATTGCTTGAAGGACAAACCCCACCCTGGATGGGGCTGCGAGCGTGAGGGGCACAGGGTGCCCAGTGAGTGGTCATGAAGCTCAGGAATGAAGGGATGGCACCTGTGCTTTCTGGGGGTTGTCTGTTCCCAACCAGAAGCTCCTGAGAAAAATAGAGGTGCTCCTGAGCGGCCATCCATCCTGCTCCCGGGGCTGGCCCCTTGGCTCCCCTGTGCTAGCCCAGAGTGAGCCCTTGAGGCTGCTGATGGCCACCTGGGTTTTGCAGGCCTGGATCCCTGGTCTTCTCCTCGTGCCCCACTCCCCAGCAGAGAGATGCTGGGGAGAGAGCCCCCCCCGCCCAGGTCCTATGATGCTTGTTCTCATGAATAAACAGGACTCTGCACAATTACTGTCACTCCAGCCCTAGTTTCCTTGGCTGAGCCATGGCTGATCAAGTGGGGTCCCCTAGGTTTGTCCTTGGGGAGTCCATGAGCCTGGGGCATCCTGCACGGGGCCTCTCCCATGTGGAAGGCTGCTGGTCAACCAGCGGTACGTTTCCTTCCCTACTTCCTCTAGACAGGGCCCAAGGACATGCCGACAGGAGCAGAGACCAAGCCAAGCTCATCCAGGGTGAATCCACCACTTTAATGTCACCAGAGAACGTTGAGGGAGATGGGGCGGGGTCGGGGGGGACACCAAGGAAGCAGGCTCAGAGGGCAAGGAACAGACCCTCCGGAGACAGCGGAGGAGTGGGCGCTGAGCTACCAGTAGAGACCACCCCATCTTTGACAGGGGGAGATGCACAGAGGGAGTAGGGAGGAGCTGAGCCAGGCTCCAGGTGGGGTCCCAGGCTCCATATGGTCGTGTAGTTCCTCTCATGGTGGTCTCCCTGGGGCCAGCTGCCCTGGCATCTGCTGAGAGTCCTGGAGCTCACTGAGGGCAGAAGGCCTGCAGGGAAGGTGCCCACCTGACCAAGTTCAGAAGACAGAGGGAGACCATGGCTTCCACTGCTGGGCAGGTCCGCAGAGGCACAGAGTGGTCCACAGGAGTGCTGGCCTCATCCCTGCTGCACCTCCCGGGCCTGCCCTGAGGGTCAGGAGATGCCCAGCTCGGACCCCACGGTCCCGGCGATCCTGGGCTGCCCGCCAGGCAAGGTGGAGGTCTGAGCAGACGCTGGAGCAGAGGGGTCAGCCTCAGTTGTAGAACACCTCGTCCTCCTCAGAGAGGGAGCCGCTGTTCACCGAGGGCAGGGAGCCCTGCAGGTGGGCCCCGCCCTCGGGCCCCAGGCACCCCAACAGCTGCTGTTGACACTGCTGTTCAGAGCTGGGGGACGGTGGACTGGCAGCTGTGACGGGGGGCTCTTGGGGCGAGGGGCAGCCATCCGTGGAGAGGCCGGGGGAAGAGAAGGCCAGAAGACTGTCGTCCTGCGAGGGAACGCTCAGAAGGCTGTCCTGCAGGTAGATGCTCTCCAGGTCTGGAAAACCAAACGGGTGTGGGGCGGCTGAGGCCTGCGTCCCCTGCTTGCTGGGACAACCAGTGCTCCCCTCCGGGTCAGAGGGAGGATCAGATGAGGTGACTTAATGCAGGACCCAGGTTCGCTGACCCCCTCCCTAGTCGCTCGAAGTTCTAGAAAGGTGTTTGGGGGTGCCTGGGGGTCGGCTCCAGATCCTGGCTCGGACACTCCCAGCTGTGACCCTCAGGTGAGCCTCTGGACCTCGTAGCGCCTCGGTCTCCTTATTCTGGGGTGGGGACAATGGGATTTGCTCCCCAGGGCTGCGGTGGAGACTAAGGAAGTGCCTAGTGTGGCAGACGCCTGATTCTTACATCGCAGTGGCTGTCCCTCTGCTCGGGGCACGCCGTGGCCAATGCAGAGCGAGGACCCCCTGTCCCATTCTATAGCACAAACCGAGGCTGAGGGGAGGAAGGGGAGGCCACGCATGTTGCAGCTGGTGCCAGGGCAGGGGACGGCCTGTGCTCTGCTCCTCCCTCCCCACCCGGCCCCCGCGGGCTGTACCCTGGAGCTGGACAGCGTCCTGGGGGCTGCTGTCGGGGTGCAGCTCCTCATCGTCCAGCGAAGACCAGGCGCTCAGAGTGGCCTCGGTGATGGCAAACTGCTCAGCAACGCCTGGGGGACAGTGAGGCCGGCTCACTGGGGGCGCAGGCGGGGTGGGCAGGTCCTCCCAGCCAGAGCGGGCCTATGAGCTGGCCAGCCGTGCCCAGGGGACCAAGGACGCCCACTTCATGCCCTGCCCACCCCAGGCCTCTACTTTCCCTGCCCAGACAGTGGCCACCTGGTGGTGACCTCTGTCTCCTCCCTGCCCCCTGCTGACCTGCAGCAAATCGAGCCTCTCGCAGCTCATCCGGGAGGCAGCAGTAATGCTCGTCCTCAGCTGGGGACAGCTCCCAGCCCGACTGCTGGGCACTCCAGCCCTTCCACTCGATGAGGTGGGCCACGCGGCCCCGTGCCATGGCCGTGGGCTTGGTGATGTGGTCCTTGATGCTCTGCACCACCCCTGGGTCATTGAGGGCAATCAATGGCTGTCCCACAAGGCCCAGCTCCGGACTCCCAATACCCTCGGCCCACCCCAGGGTCTGGACCCCACAGCCACACATCCCCCGAGCCCGATGCCAGACAGAACCCAGTGGCTGCACCTGTGCCTTCCCCATGCCCAGCCCATGCCTCACTCACTGCCCCATGCCTGCCCTGTGCCCTTCCAAGCTGGGCCCCACCTCACATGACCCCACCCACTCACATGCCTGCCCCCCAATGTCCTCCTCCCAGTGAACACGTGGGCCACTGAGCGCTTCTTTCTTAGGTGGCCACCACCTCACTTCCTTTCTTACCCAGGGTCCCCCCGCCCCGCCCACCCAGGGACAGTTCCTGGGAGCATTCTGCTCTCAGCTCTGCTGACAGTGAGGCCTGGGTGGTTGAGCAGGGAGGGCTTCCTGGAGGAATGGCCCGGAGTTTGGAGGCAGGTTGGGACCGGGCAGGTGGAGGCGAGGCTGGGGCTATTTCAGAGATGAGAGGCGGGAAGCGCCTGGTGTGATTCCAGCCCCACGGGGAGACCCGGGGATGACCGCAGGACTAGGACAGCAGGAGATGGGAGCCTCCAGGGGCCAGGCTGGGCCTAGAGAGCCAGGCTGAGGCTCAGGTGTCCTCACAGCAGCGGGGGCCGCAGCAGGAGAGGGACCGGTTGGCCCTGCTATTTAGGACCAGCTTCCTGATTGGAGGATCAGGATTCAAGGGTGAAGGCAAGGGCACCACGGGGGGTCACTGCAGGGACCCAGAAAAAGTAAAGGCCACTGGAATGGTGGGAGGAGGGGGTTCTCAGGCGTGGACGGAGGGGCAGGGCTGGCGGGGTGGCTCTGCGTCTCCGTGACCCGCGGCCGAGAACACAGACCTGGGGTTCACAGTGTTCCTGAAGCCACAGAGGTGGCCACAAAGCAAATGGGGACCTGGGGCGGCAGGAAAGGCCCAGGTGGGGCAGAGCGGGAGAGCTGAATCCCCAGGTGGCGGGGTGCTGGCAGTCAGGGGTTTGGAGGAGTGGGGCTCACAGGTACCAGGGGAAGCTGTTTCCAGGGAGCGTGGGCAGCAGGGTGCTCCGGGGAGCCGTGAGGGATCTCATGCAAGGGGGGCCTGAGGCGTGGGGGGCGCGAAGCTGGCTGACAGGTGGGCTGGCCCGGAAGGCTGGTCAGTGCCACCTGGAGCAGCGCAGCCCGCCCTCCCCAGGCTGCGTGCCCACCCCAGTGCCTCCGGTGCGCTGTCTTGGTTCACACCCGCTCCCTCTCTGGAGAGCCACCGAGGCTTGGGGCTGCCCCACCTGAGAGGCCGTGAGGTGGCAGAGTCCTCCCAGGGCCACGCAGGACTGGCCAGTGGGGGACATACAGCCAGCCCCCTTGCCTCAAATGCTGCCAATTCTGAGGGGCACTTGGTGCTGCAAGCTCCCTGGGGGCTGGCAGGAGACTCCCAGGACCGCATCCAGGCTGAGCAGCCCCCGCAGCCCCGGCCGCCTCCCACACTCCTTCGGGCTGGAGGGTGACCCCTCAGCGCAGGATCCTGTTCCAGGCTCCGCTAGACGCAGGTGGCACAGAGGCAGGGAGACCACACCAGACAGACATCCCCAAAATCTGGGCCAACCTCGAGCGTCTTCAGAAGCCAACAACTCAACCCCTGGCAGCAGGAACCCTCCGGTCACCCGGAGCCCAGCATGGAACCCGGCGCTTGGAAAACAAGGAATCCAAAGGGCCGCCGTCCTCCAGCGGCAGTTCAGCTTTGCCTTCCCAAGTTCATGTACGAGGTGGAGCATACCAGCTCCAAGGGCAGGAGCAGGCGGCTGGAACCTACCCACAAGGGACGAGGTGGCCAGGGCCGCCACGCCGTAGTTGCCGGAGCAGGCCCTGGAGTCGGACAGGTAGCCGTTGGTGGTCTGGAAGCACCTCTGGAGGAAGCAGGGAGGAGTCAGCAGGAGGGCAGGCCGCCAGAGGGTGTCCCCACACCACTGCATCATGCAGCCCACCCCAGGCCCTTGGGTGGTGGGCCGGGAGAGGGCAGGTACAGCCAGGGAGGTCCTATCCCCCCACCCAGGGCTGGCAGGATGTGGGCCTGGGCTGGGCACAGCAGGTGCAGACGGTGTCAGCTGTGGCTGGCTAAACTGGGGACAGCAAGTGCACTGACCTGCCAAGGATCCCAACAGAAATCCATCTGTTTGTCCTACAGCAAGAGGAGAAAGAGGGTCAGGCAGGGCCCAGCACACCCTGCCAGCAGATGGCCGAGCCCTGGCTCCCCAGGGGGGGTGTGGGTCGGCCTCTGGTGCTCCATGAGGTGGAGTCTGCACTCATGGATTATGCCCTGGTGTCACCTGGCAGCAGAGAGAGGAGGAGAGCCACAGTGGCACTGGGAGGAGAGGGGGCGGGTATAGGCCATAGATCAGACCCAGGTGTGGATCTCCACTTTGTCATTTCTAGCCGGGTGTCTGAGGACTAGGGACCTGACCTTCAGAACCTCTGTTCTTCTGTGGAAGGTGGCAGTCTAAATTCACCCCCAAGGTTGTGGTGAAGCATAAGTGACATGACACTAAGTGCCCAGCACCGTGCTCTTCATGCAGTAGGTGCTCAAGAAAAAAAAGCAGCTGTGTCCACTGGGAGTTCAGGCCACAATCTGGGGGGCGGGGTGGAAACTATGCACCAGAACTGGGTTCCCTAACCACATCTTCCTCATCTACCTGCACTGAGAATTCCACTCTTGTATTCTTGAGAGGTGGTACAGGTTGTGAAGGGGTCACAGGCAGGTAGCGGCCCTGCTGTCTGCAAGGCTGAGTTAATCTGGGTGGGAGGACCTTCGGTTGTTTTTTCTAAAGAGGGCTGGCCCGGTCTCTGGATGCCCAGGTCAATCCAGACCCTCCCTGGGCTGAACAACAAACCTCAGGGGCAGGGGCCCAGTGCCACAGGAAGAAGCTGAGTTGGGCAGGGAAGGAAGGAGCTTGGAATGGTTTTCGCTCTCTGTGGGGATCTGTAGGGGGTCAGTCTAGGAACCAGGGAGCAGGCAGATGGGGGGATGATGAGTGACCGCTTACCTTGCCAGTGACATGGTCTGGAACAATGGTGGGTGGGTGGCTGGAGGGCAGGTCTGGGTTCCCGGGCTCCGTGCCCTGGGGCATGGGGCAGTCTTTGTGGGCACTTGTGAACAGATCTGGAAATAAGAAGGAGACACTTAGAAAAGCACAGCCCTAGATAGAGCAATAAATCAGGCAGAAGCAAGAAATAAAGGGCATCTCAGTAGGAAAGGAGGAAGTCAAATTATCTCTGCTCGCAGATGGCATGATTTCATACAGAGAAAAATCTAAAAACTCTACCGAAAAAAATTGATTGAAATGATAAACAAACTCAGTAAGGCTGCAGGATGCAAAATCCACACATAAAAATTAGTAGCTTTTTTATACACCAATAACAGAATTGCTGAGAAAGAAATCATCTCATTCACAGCAGCTGCAAAAATAATAAATAAAATACCCAAGAATAAATTTAAGCAAGAAGTGAATGATCTCTGCAATGGAAATTACAAGAAACTGGTGGAAAAACATCAAAGAGGACACACACAACAAGTGGAAAGACATCCCACGTTCATGGATTGAAAGCATTAATATGGTTAAAATGTCCATACTCCCCAAAGCAATCTACACATTCAATTCTATTAAAATACCAATAACATTCTTCACAGAAGTAGAAAAACCACTCCTAACGATGCCTATACTCATGTCCCAGCTCCGACTCCTCCTTTGGGCTCTGGTCTGAATTTCCAACCTTCTGAGGGATTTTCTGTCCTGCCTTTCCTCCCTCCACATCACCCAGTCATTGTGAAGTCCTCTGGGTTCTCTGGCCAGTGTGTTCCAGATTCATCCATCCTCATCCTCACTGTGGCTTCTGGGAAGACTCAGTCCTCCCTCCACCCAGAAGCACAGGGAAGTTACAGCCCAGGCCAGGCAGGTCACTGGGGTTGGGGACAATGTGGATGTCCTACCTGGTGTCTCTGGGTCCCTTCCTCCTCTGTGCCCCCTTGTCCCCATGCACTTTTCTCCCAGTGGGCACTTTCTCTGGCTCTCTGGGAAGGCTGCCCTTGGGCTAGTGGTGTTCTGAGAAAAGTGTTGCTAAGTGATTTTGTCGTCCTGTGGACACATTAGTGTACTTGCACCAACCTCAGTGGTGCAGCTACACACCCCCATAAGTGGTGTAGCCAACACTCTAGGTGCACACCTGCACGGTGTGTTAGTGTACCTAACGCTGTAGGCAACAGTGACACAGTGCCAAGTGTCCTCTACCTAAACATATCTAAGCACAGAAAAGGTGCGGCAAGAATACAGGGTAAAAGGTAAAAACTGTGCACCTGCGTTGCCACTCGCCATGGGTGGGGCTTGCAGGACGGGCAGCTGCCTGGAGTCAGGAAGTGCTCGTGAAGGTCAAGGATGCTACTGTGCACTACTGTGTAGCCTTTATGTCCCGAGCACACTTAGCCACTCAGGAGGAAGGAGGATGGCAAGTTCCAGACCAGCCTCAGCAAGTTAGTGAGACCCAGTCTCAAAATAAAACAATAAAAAAGGGCTTGGGATGAAGCTCTGTGGTAGAACCCTTGCCTAGCATGTGCACGACCCTGGGTTCAATCCCTAGCACTGCAAAATGTGTGTGTGTGTGTGTGTGTGTGTGTGTGTGGTTTTTATGTTCTTATTCTATAAGTTTTCTTCTATTTTAAAATTTATCATTGTAGTTTTAAAAACTTTTCTTAAAAACTAAGACACAGGGCTGGGGGAGCAACCCAGTGGAAGACTGTGTGTTTAGCATGCTTAGGTCCTGGGTTTTATCTCCAGCACTGTAATTACACAAAACAAGCCTAAGACACAAACATACACGTGAGCCCAGGGTCAGGATCATCTTATCCCACTAAGGGGTCCTCAGGGACTAACATGCAAAGAGCTGCCATCTTCTGGATGGACCAAAGGACCAGTTGACTCTCCTTTAACAAGCAGGCGTCTGCTGGGCTGGATGTGCAGGGAGACAGGGCTGCCCAGCTGAGCAGAGTCCTGGGTTCCATCCCCAGCACCATTTAAAAAAGAAGAAAAGAAAAAGTAGAGTATACTCTGAAACACGGATATGGGCTGGGGGTGGAGCTCAGCAGTAGAGGGCCAAGTCCTGGGCTCGATTCTCCCCCCAAAGATAAAAAGTTAGTCTAGTACATACGTAAGAGAGTGACAGCATCATTTATTATCATTATCAAGTATTATGTGCTGGGCTGGGGCTGTAGCTCAGTGGTAGAGCACTCCCCTCACATGCTTGAGGCACTGGGTTGGATCCTTGGCACCACATAAAAATAAATCAATAAAATACAGATATTTTGTCCATCTATAACTCAAAAAAAAAATAAGAAGAAGTATTATGTGCTACACATAATTATTGTATTGCTACTATGTATCCGTTAGTTCACACGCCCACTCACACAGGGGCAATGCGTTGGGCCAAGATGGATGATGTTCTGATATCACAAGGTGATAGGAATTTTTCAGCTTTGTTATCATCTTCTGGGACCACCAATATATATGCCATCTGTCTTTGATCCAAAGATCTTGCTGCAGCACATGACAACTCCTGTGTGGCCTCAGCCATTTACTATCAGTGGCAGGACCCCAGCTCCTTCCTCTGGGATGGGAAATTCCACTTTACTGACTCTCCAGCGCCCCCTGCAGGACGGCCTGACACCACGCCCTCCTGCTCCCGCCCTTCATATATCAGGGGCACCCAAATTCTCACGTCCGGGTCACCTTCTGAGGAATTGCCCCAAACATCTGTCAACCCAACCTTCCTTTCGCTACTGATGGGACTACCCCGTGACTTTACCTCCCTGGTTTCTGCTTCCTTATCTGTAAAGTGGGCAGTCGAGGGAGCCTGTTCTTGTCCTTCAGGAACTGTCTATTAGCATCCCAAACTGGACACAGAGAGGCCCTGGGGACCCCGTGTTTTGAGGACAGCCTCCCTCTGAGGGGCCAGCAGACTCTGCTGCCCCAGCCACTCACCCCTCCTCCAAACCTGACTGCCCATTTCACCCACGTACCAGAAGAGGGGGTCCCAGACAATCACTCAGAAATGTGAGATGCCTGCAGAGGAGACCCCCCACTAGATGTCTGACCACCAGAGGCTGGGGCAGGGCAGGCAGGGGAGCAGCCAGAGGCCCTCCCTCCCCAGCATGGCCAGGACTGGGAGTTTTTCAAGGGTCAGGAGACAACAAGGAAGATACCATGTCTGGGTCTCGCTGGAATCCCCTAAGGGGGCTGCTTGCAGTGCAGGGGACCCCAGGCCAAGAGACTAGAGGCTGGAGACTAGGAGGATGGGGGAGTTGGTGGGAATGAAGGAGGTCTAACCAGAGCAGATCTGTTACGACAGGGCCCTGTGGAGAGGAAGTCCCTGCTTCCAATGTCTCCTGAAGAAATCACCCATGCAACCTGGAGGACCCTGTCCCACCTCGTCTCCCACTGCCCTCCCTTCTCCACTCTGGCCACGCTGACCATTCTGCTGACGATCCTGCATTTTCCTGAGACAGGCCCAGCACGCTGCTGCCTCAGGGCCTTTGCACTGGCTCTTCCCTCCCTCCATCTGGAACTCTCCTCCCAGATGATCGCAGGTTCACTCTCTTGTTCCATCTGGGTCTTTGCTCAAAAGCTGTGACCTCAGTAATATCCCCCGCCAAAACCATCTTATTGGACACGACACCTGCCCTTCCATCCCTTCAGCCTGTCTTGCTCCTCTGGACTCTGTCCATCTCATTCACCATGACAGCCTCAGCACCTGCCATAGGGCCCGGCATACAACAGGTACTCAATAAATATCTACTTCCAGGAGGAAGGCAGGAATATTTGGATGCCTGCCACGCAGGGCCTCGACAGCCAGCCAGCGTTCCTCAAGAGAGACCACTAGAGTCCCGGTCAACCCAGACGTCCTGGTCTCCAATCCCTCGGGCCAGACCCCAGCGTGTTAGTGGAGGAAGGGATCCCAGAGGAGAGAGTGTGGCCGGCCCTGGCGGTGGGGGGGTGGGTGGAGGTGAGCACAGAAGTGACACCTGCTTTCACCCATGCTGCACTGGTTTAGTACGCAGAGGGGACTAGCGGGTGCTGAGACCAGCCCAGGGCTGTGAAGGGCCGCCAAGAGGCTGGGGAGAGGCCGGAGAGAGGCCGGCAGGGGCTGGGGCTCGGAAAAGGGAAGGTAGGGTAGGGTCATGGCTAACTGCCTCCACTTCCCATAACTGAGGCATAAGGAGGTCAAGGCAGGGAGGATACACAGGATCCTGTGGGCTGAGCCATGTGCCTGCACACTGCAGCACCCAGCTCAGCTTGCTCTTTGTCCCCAGTCCTGACTGTGTGACCCTGAGCTAGATGGGCTTCAGAGTCTCCATCTCTACAAAGATAATGTTCTGGAGGGCAGGCAGGCATCCTTCAGTAGGTCATGCACGTCACTGATTTTATATATATATATATATATATATAATTTTTTTTTCCAGTCCCGGGGATTGGACCCAGGGATGATCTGCCACTGAGCAACATCCCCAGCCCTTTTTAATTTTTTTTTAAATATTTTTATTTTGAGACATTGTTGCTAAATTGTCCAGGCTGACCTTGAATTTACGATCCTCCTGCCTCAGCCTCCCGAGCTGCGGGGATTACAGGCGTGTGCCACCGCACCCAGCAAACTAGGTCTATTTTTAAAACAAATACAGCAGAATTGAATAGAGCAGAGATTAACAGAGCCAAGGGCAGAGATGGCTTAAGTCTTATTTCTTGAAGTTTTTGTTTGAATCACACGGATACGTGTATGTGTCTGCACACTCATGTAGCGAGAATTTTCATGGTGGGCACCCTGGGTCAAAATGCAAAATACAGCTGGGTGTGGTGGCACATGCCTATAATCCCAGCAATTTGGGAGGCTGAGGCAGGAGGATTGAGAGTTCAAAGCCAGCCTCAGCAGATCAGCAAGGCACTCAGCAACTCAGTGAGACCCTGTCTCTAAATAAAATACAAAAAAGGGCTGGGATGTGGTTTAGTGGCTGAGCCCCCCTGGGTTCAATCCCTGGTACAAAAAAAAAAAAGCAAAATAGTTATTCTGATGAGTCGAGTCAGAAGTCTGAAATCAGCCACATGTAAGGGTGCAGAGACG